TTTGTGTTTTTTTTACATTAGAATTTTCACTTTGCATAATGTTTTTGAGGACATCTATGTCCTAGCCTGTATCTGTACTTAATTCCCTTTATATTAAGCAGTATTCCCTTGTATGGATAATACCAGATTTTGTCTGTTCATCAGATGCTCAACATTTGCATTTGTTTCTGTTTTTTGGGATATTATTAATAGTGCTGCTATGAAAATTCATGTACAAGTCTTTGTGTGGATATATGTTTTCATTTGGCTATTTGGTAGATACCTGACGATGGAATTGCTAAGTCATATGGTAAATTATTATATTTAACTTTTTAAGAAATTGCCAAACTGTTTTCCAAAGTGACTGTACCATTTTACAGTCCCACCTCCAATATATTAGGATTTCAATTACTCCATGTCCTTGCCAACACTTGTTATTGATGCCCATTTTGGTTATAACCATTCTAGTGGGTGTGAAGTGGTATCTCATTGTGGTTTCAATTTGCATTTCTCTCATAATTAATGATATAGAGCATTTTTTTCATATGCTTATTGGCCGAGTTTGGTAAATATTCAGATTTTTTGCTCTTATTTTATTTGGGTTATTTATCTTATTATTGAATTGTATATTATTTATATATTTTGGATAGAAGTCTTTTATTAGATATATGATTTGCAAATACTTTTCCCCATCTGTGGCTTCCCTTTTTATTTTCTTCTGGGTGTGTCTTTTGAAAAAGTTTTTCATTTTGATTAAGTCTAATCTTTTGTGTGTGTGTGTGTGTGTGTGTGCTTTTGGTGTTATATCCAAGAAATCTTTGCCTAACCTAAAGTCTTGAAGGTTTACACCTATGTTTTCATCTGAGAGTTTTATAGTTTGAGCCCTTACATTTAGGTCAGTGATCCATTTGGAGTAGATTTTTGTATATGGTACAAGGAGGCTTTGCTTAAATCAATAGGATAGATTTGGAAATATGGAAGCATTTAATAATGATAGTATCTGAGGACTCTATCATGTTTTTTTACTCTCTTGTTTTAGCTATGAGTAAGATAATAGATCTGAGAAAGTTCTATTTAATTTATTCCACAATCATTATCATCTGGTATAAAATAGTTAATATGTTCATTAAGTAAGTATTTGAGGATAGAATAAGCTAAAAGTGATATTTCGGTCTACATTTTAAGTGATAGATAAAACATTTACTTTAGCATGTTTGTAAATTTCATTAAGAATTATAGTTAAAACTTTAAACATACATATAAATTACTTTTGTTTTTTCAGCATGTAGAAATTTTTATAAATTCTGATTCAAATCAGGGGGATTCAAAACTTAAAATCATCTTGTCCATTAAGTTGGGATAGATTCTAATAAAAAAAACATGTTAAAATTTTATTTTTATATGAAAATACAAGTTATTCTACTTATGGTGAACCTTCTAACTCTGAAATTTGACTAGCCTTTATTCACCATTTTCAGTCCTTATACAATAAGTCTTTGCTAACAACTCAGTACCTGCCATCAGGCACACCAAAGTGTGCTTTTGTTTGTTTGTTTGTTTGTGTTTTCAAACGAATAGCAGATAAGAGAAAAAATTCAGTTATCCCAATTGATGATAATGTTGTAAAATTTTATGTCATTTTTTTAAAGTCATATAAAACTTAAATTTTATAGCATGTGATAGTATTGACAATCACATTTCATTTAGGAGAGAGTCTGTGGACTAATTCTAACTCTGCAGTTGGCGAGAGTCACAGACAACACAATCAGGCATTTTTAACCTTCTGTATCTCTATGAACATCTCGAGGAACTGCTTTCTTGACACCTTAGGTTTGGCCATTTTGTTGCATCTCGTTTGTGTGCTTTAAATAATCAATGCATTTCAAGTTTATGTAAACTCAATGTTTATTATCTTAGCTTCTCTTTATACAGAAAAGTATATGGATTTTTATTTACATAGTAGTATAAACAGTTTTAGCAAGGAAAAAAAAGTACCCTTTATTAAGTTTTCCAAGACCAAAAAATTAATTTTCTATTTTATTCTATATTTCAAAAGATTTGTTTTTCCCATCAGATGCAGACCAACAACGAAGAGAGAAACTCAAAAAGGAATTAGCACGATGTGAAAGGGAATTGAAATTAACTAAAACTGAAGTGCAGGCCAGTTCTAAAAATAATTCCAAGTCATTATTTAACACTCTACAAAAGGTAAGATAGTATTTTTACCTTTTAAAAGCAGATGTTTCTAAGGTACTTCGTTAGTAGTACAGCCTGATTTTTTGGTGACATGTGTGCTCTAGGTCAGAGTCAGTAAACTTTCTGTAAAGAGCTGCGTAGTAAATATTTTACCCTTCTCGGGCCACACAGCCTCTGTCACAACCATTGGGCCATTGGAAAACAGCCACAGACAATACATAAATGAGTGGGCCTGGCTGTGTTCCATCAAAACTTTACTAACAAAAAAGACTGTGGGCCAGAGTAGGCTTACAGGCTAGTTTGCTAAGAGGATTTTTTTTTTTCCCTTTCTCATGAATGCATGTTCGTTTTATCAAATGCTTTTTCTGCATTTTTTCAAATGAATGGTATAATGTTTTTTAATCTGTTAATGTAGTGAATCACGATTGAATTTCTAATGTTAAACTAACCTTGCATCCTTAGTATAAACACTACTTTGTCATGATTCATTACTGTTTGCATACATTGCTGGATACAGTTGCTAATATTTTGCTTAGGATTTTAGCATCTATGTTTATTATTAATATTGACCTGTCATTTGCCTTTTTTCTACGTCAGGATATGCTAGCCTCATAAAACTACCTGGGCACTATTTCCTCTTTTTCTATGCTTTAGAATAGTTTATGTAAGGTTGAAATTATTTGTTCCTTAAATTTGATGGAATTCAATATTAAAATTATCTGGACCTAGAGTTTTCTTTGTGAGAAGATTTTTGACTACTGATTCCATTTTTGAAATCCTTATATAACTATTTTTATAAGTTGTGTTTACGAAGTTGTCCATGTCACCTACATTTTCAAATTTCTGGCATAGACTTGTTTATAATATTCTTTTAGTCTCTCTCTGGAATGTGTATTATTTCCCCACTCTTATTCCTAATGTTATTTGTGCCTTCATTCTTGAGTACTCTCACCAGAGATTTGTCAGTTTTATTAATCTTTTTAAAAGGTACAATTTTTTTTTCTTTATTAATCCTCTGTGTTGTATTTTGTCTTCTATTTTGTTAATATCTACTCATCGTTATTTTCCTCTTTGGCTTTCTTTGCATTTATTTTGATGTACTTTTTTCTACTTTTGTTTCGCTTATTTTCAGCCACACGTCTTTCAGAGGTATGAGTATTTTTAAGAATCTAAATTTTCCTCCAACTGCTACTTACTTGCATCCCACAAGTTTCTATATGAGGCATTTTTCTTATGGTTCAATTCAAAACATTTTACAGTTTCCATTATAATTTCTTCTTTAACACTGGAATCATTTAGAAGTGTTTCTTAATCTCTAAATGTATTTTTTCCCAGTTTTCTTTTTGTTACAGATGCCTAGCCTAATTATATTATGATCAGGGAATATCTATATAATACCCATTTCTTGAAATTTGTTGAGACTTGTTTTATAGTACAGTAGGTGGATAATTTTTTTAATGTACTGTGTCATTATGTGTTTGAAAATAAAATATATTCTATAGTTATATGCAGTATTTAATATATAGTATAGTGTGTCCATTAGATTAAACTTAATATCTTAGAGATGTTCAAATCTTATTGATTTTTTGTCTAATTAATCTATTATTTATTAAGAGAAATCTTCCACAAGAGCATGTATTTAGATTGTTTTCAAAAATTAATACCACCAATTTTTGTTTTATATATTTTGAGTTTATATTATTTCATAATACAGATTAAGAGATATATTTTCTTGGTAAATCAAGGCTTTTATCACTGTGCTTTGAACTTCTTTACCTTAATGTTATTTGTATTAGTTTCTGATAATGATATAGTTAAATCAACTTTCTTTTGATTAGCATTCCTTTGGTATATCTTTTTCCATTTTTTATTCTTAATGTTTTAGGTAGGTCCTAAAGTTTTAGGTGGGTCACATTATTCCCTCTGATAGTCTTTGTCTTTTAAGTGGAGCATTTAGTATGTTCTTTCTTCTGCCTTCTTGTCTTGTGCTGTTTGATCCACAGTAATAGGCAGAATTCTAAATGACACCCCCACAATGACCTACATCCTTAAACAGTCTCCGCTCTTGAGTATAGGCAGGACCTGTAACTTGCTTCTAACCAACAGAATATGGCGAAGGTGATGGGCTATCCCTTCCATATGATGTTACATGGCGAAAGTGAAAGGGATTTCTCTCCGTAGAGTAAGGTTTTCCTCCTTCTTTAAGAGAGGGAAATGGGCTGGGAGGAGTTTCTGCTGCGGCTACTATAGAAATGGCTTTCTCCTCCCCTAGCCACATGGAAGGAATGAGGGAAGGGGGAAGCTTTCTTAGGGTTCTCCCTGCTCTTGCCTGCGAGCTCCTGGTGCAGTTCCTGGAGGAGAAGCCAGCAGGAGGACACAAACTCCCCACGTCTCTGAGGCTGCCCACTCTCACGCGAGTCTACTCTCTCTTCAGCAGTTAGCCCAAATCTTATAGCGTCATCTTCTTTCTGGTTTATGTGGCACTCGGTAGCGTCTGTCCCAAATGAACAAATGCTCGGGTCCTGTTTCCCGGCAGGTGCCTATCTCTCTAGTTTTCAAGTTATTTGCTCTGTGACCTTAGTCCTCTCATTAATTCAAGAAAAACTATTAACTTGCAGCTCATCCGGCTTTTTTCTTGTTGTAATAGTTCTCGGCTGACACTGGAAGTCTGATTTATTTTTGTACGTAGTGGTTTCTTTTCTAAACTTTTTAATTTTGAAAACTTTAGCATCTACAAAAATAGTCATTTAATGAACCCAAATGTTCTTGTCCCCCAGATGTAGCAGTGACCAGACTCATTTCATTTATATCCTCACTCACTGCCCCCACCCCAGATTATTTTGATACAGATCCCAGATATCATATAACTTTATCCATAATTATTTCCATATGTATCCAAAAGATAGACCATAATACCATTAACGTGCCTTAAAAATTAATGATTCTTTAATATCATCAAATACCCACTGTTCAAATTTTCCTGTTGTCTTATGTATTTTTTTCAGTTAATTAGGATTGGGATCTAAATAATTTCAACTAATTGATAGATTTCTTTTAATCTATAGCTTCTCCTTCTCCCACCTTTTTATGTATTAGAAAAAAATAAGTCATTTGTCTTAGCTTAAGGCTTTTGTGGACCATCTGACTAAGGCAAATTTAGGCCACAAGCTTATGTGGGGGCACCGTACGATTTCAAATTCTCAAAGGCCAGTGCTCCCTTTCCACTCAGTGCCAGTGTTCAAGATAGGCAAGTTTTTTGCAAGTCACCTAGTTGGGGTGTAGCCATTGAGAGGATCCAGATTCATGAGCATGGTCTCCTAAGCTGTCGAGATCAGTCTCTGAGCTTCGTTTTCTGTCCCCCAGTACCCGCGATGTGATAAAAACTATGGCCTATTAATATAAGTGAGTTTCACTGCTCTACTTACTAGGTATTATGTGCCATATATTTGATTCCAGCTCTTTCAATTGTACGTGAAATTGTGACATATCAGTAGGCAGGGGAACGACTAAGGGCATTTGTGCTATTATAATGAATGCAGATTTTTTTTTCTTTGAGAAGTAAGGGAGCCATAGAGCAGTTTGGGAGAAGTTAAATCATCACACTGACACTTTACAAAGACCACACTGGCAGCAAGGAAAGACAGACTGACTATGAGTCAGTTGCAATAATCTGGGGAAGAAATGGTTAAGACCTGATCCAAGACAGCAGAAGGAACACAAGGAATATATTTAGGAGATGTTTAGAAAGTAAAATCCCCAGGACTTGGTGTCCTGGCATGTGAAGAGCAATAAGCCGAAATTAAAGAGGTTCCCAGGTTTCTGGCCTGGGCAACTGGGAAGATGGTGATATATCATTCACTGAAGTAATGATAATGGAACAAAGTGCAGCGTCTTCTTTGGACGGGTGGATAATGTAAGGTATGAGTCTACTCGTTTGGACGTGCTTGACTTGAGGTGCCTTTGGAATAGCTAACATATTCAGTAGAGAGCTGATATGTGCATCTGCGTCAGGAAAGAGGTCTGGGCTGAAAATAGATTTGGGAGTCATCAGGGAAGCTGCAGTATGCTTGAGAGCCCCCAGGGCTGTTATATAGATTAAAAGGACTGGGAATAGAGCTGCTTCCTTTAGAATAGATTTACTATATGCTGTGATATCATTTTGCCATCTGGGAATCTGTGTATCAATATTTAACTCACAGTGTATTTCCATTTTTAGTGATTGTACTTTTTAACTGAAAATTTAAAATATTTTGCTATTATCCAGTATTTTGAATATAAAGTAATAATTGTATTTTGAGATAAGAATGGGTTTTGTTGAAAATAAACTATATAATTAAATCTGTAAATGTAAGATATTTTCTATTCATTTTTCCTTTAGCTACTGTAACACTTCCATAAAGGAGTTTTTTAATATTTTAATCTTAATGTATTTTTTACTTCATTTAGAATTCACAGTAACTTGCAGTTTGCCTACATTTTTATAAGCATTGATAATAAATATTTAGACACATTCAAATTAAAATTATTATTTTGAGCATAATATTTGATAATTGGATGTGTTTTCTGGTTAACAGACACCTAAGTTATAATCTGCATTTACTGAAAAGTTGGCTACAGTTAAGAGGAAAATGCTAACTTTAGCCTCTGGACATATTACCTATTTACGTACATGAGTTCATATAATCAGAAATCTTGTAATTGCCATACTCTCATGCTAGTTTCTTTTTCTCACACTTTGCCCCACACGCTATCACCTCAGGACCCTCCTGTGCCTTTCTAGTCTGCACCTTGTACCCCCCGCCAGTTATTCACTCACGTCACTGGGGAAGCACCCACTATGTGCTATTAAGATTAAATGAATATGTGGATGCAATCCATATTCCTAAGTAAATCTGTTTTAAAAAGCAGTATAAAGCAATGAAAATCAAGAGCTATCAGTTTCTTTTATAAAATATACTTTGAAATTTTTTTGCAAAACGAAGGCTAACCAAAGTTTTAAATAATTCGTACCCATCCTGTTCTGAAATTGAATTGAAGCCTCAACTGTTTTAAAACCTGACAGCTGGAAAATCTTATTATGCCATTTCTTCTGACATTATACCCGAAAAAGATCGATTTAGTTAGTACTCAGTCATTCTGTGGTTGTAAAATTGGATAGGTGTAATTGTCATAAAAACGTGTAAACTATGCAACGATTATCACTTTGAACTGGTTACAACAAATTGCGTCGAACTGTAAGGGTGACGTATATGAAAGTGGTCAGATTACCACCAGAATTTTTGTTCAATTGACGTATAATTGATGAACGTTTTCTGATTTTAGAACTTTACAGTACTATTCAAGTTTTGGCGAATTTACCAGTGCGTTACATATTTTCTATGAAAATTATATCCATCCAACCTTGCTGATATTTATGGCTAAAGAAAACAATTATATAATCTCAAAAAAGCAAATTGGCACAGTTGATTTCATACTGTGTTCTACTGGTTTTCAAGAGGAAAAAAAAAGATACAAGGTAGGGATTATGAGACATAAAAATACAGAAAAGTTTCCTGCCTTCAGTCAGTTCAAAAGCAGTTTTTCCAGCCCATTGCAGACAGATGAGAGTATATTTCTGCCTTTAAAGACTTTCTTTGGTGTTCTGTTTTGTTTCTTAAATAACCATCAGTGATAAGAATTCTCTTACAGTCTAATGCTATATGCATTTCTGCCTGCTCTGATCTCAGTTTTTACTGCTCCTCTAAGTGTAAATAATTCCTGTGGTTGTTATTTAATAGCCGTAAAGAATTTTTCAGAATGCACTTAGAAATATCTTCACAGGGTACCAAACTCTTCTGGTGAAAAAGCTGTAGTATGAGTCTAGTTTGGGAGTACTTTTTAAAACCAACGTATTAAAGCCATTAACCACACAGCACCCTAGTGACTCACACTCTGATGCCAACATACTCACTCGCTTCGAGTAATTTTGCCCTGTATTTGGGACAGGGTTAGAAAGCACTTGGAAAGGAAATAGGTGCCTTGACCTCTTTTAGGCAGTAGTCACAGTGTCCAGTTACTGCACTTTCCTTACTTAGATAAATCAGTACTTAGCTTAGCTGAATTGTTCAGTAGCAGGAAAGGAGTTAAAATCTGTTTAAGATTCCCAGTGGTGTAAAAAACTAAAAATATGTGATTTTCGAATGAGTCTTTAAAATAGATAACCTGACATGATAGGCTCAGCCTGGATTCAAACTATAAGACCCTGCACCTGAGTTTCTTCATCTGTAAAACAGAGGTAATAATTTTCCCACCACTCAGAGTGGATGGGACGATTAAATGAGTTGGACGTGTAAATCAGTTAGAACAATACCTTCACATAGTAAACATTCATACTTATTAGTAGCAGCGATAGAAGTTCTGATCATTCCTCTTTTATTCTTCTCAATGGCAAGAACAGTACCTTGTGCAAAGGAAGCTCTCGGCTCTTCCCTTTCTCCTCCTGTTTGTCTCCCCTGGAGCTTGTAGGACAGATATAACTGGTTAATCCTAGCCATTTTCACCTCCATTTCTGTCACTTCAATGTAACTTCCCCTCTACCTAATAAAGTGACTCAGAGTTCTGTAAAGGCTACACAGGTGTCCATAAAGTTTGGAATCATTGACAAGGCTTTTGGGGCAGCTAATCTGTAAAAGAATAAAATATATTTTTAGACTTTATAGATATCCTGCAGAAATGGCTCTGCCAAGGTTAAACCAAAAAAAAAAAAAAAAATGGAGCAGTCAAAAACACCTTTCTTTTCAAAGCTTTTCTCACTCATGAGGAGAACTTGAGGAACATATGTGAACTTTTTATGTAATAAACATTTCTTAGTCATATTTAAAATATCAGGTACTTAAATCAAGGCTCCATATATTGTGAGGAGAAGTTCCTTTTCATTTATTCAAAGCCTTGAAGTCACAGAGGAACTGCTGGCATTGAAGATCACCATAATGACCAGGGAAGATGCTGCCACCAGCAATGGTTGATAAGGGGATTGGGGCTCACAATTGTTTTGGAAACTTGCAGATAAAACTGAGATCTATCAGTAGACACAAGGTCAAGACTACAATATAGGTAGATGTTATTAATCATTTTTTTTAGCTTCAGAAAGAAAAATGATTGCTATTATATTTAGAATTGTATTTTTATATATTAATAATTCAAAAACTTGAATAGAACTTTATATACAATACGAACATCTTCAGGAACACGTAAGCTGATTTATAGACCCCCCCCCCCCGAGGCAACCGTTTTTGAATGTACAGTCAGGAGATCCTCCATTTTATGAATTCATAACTGTAATTGATGACTGTCATACCCAATGTTCTCAGCCTTCAGGGGAACCACAAAATGAAGAGGACATGTTATTGGAAGAAGTGAATGGATATCCGTCCTTTACAAAGTCCCCAGTACCATCTTCAGAGAGATTACAAATAAGCCTACCCAAATCCAATAAAGTCCTCACAAGTGGTACCGAGAAGAACTCCTGTTCCTTCCTGTCCAGCGTGGATTACGCCACCTCCGGGCCCAGGAAACCGTGCTCTGGAACCTCGTATGGCAGACGGCCCAGGGGCACATTCCCAAATTCCCACCGGTTCCAGTTAGTTATTTCCAAAGCACCCAGCGGGGACCTTTTGGATAAACATTCTGCACTCTTTTCTAACAGACATTTGCCATTCACTCCACGCACTTTGAAAACTGAAGCAAAATCTTTCCTGTCACAGTATAGGTATTATACACCTGCCAAAAGGAAAAAAGATTTTACAGATCAGCGGATAGAAGCAGAAACCCAGACTGAATTAAGCAGGTATGGCACGTCGACGGCCAATAGTAAACCACGAAGTTGTAGAAATGAAATAATACTCTTTATTTTACATCATGTACCTTATGTGCCTTTTGAATGGAATGAGATTAGTGTGACTTTCCCTTTTGCATGTGTCACTAGAACTGTCAGAGTAATTGTTGAAAAGCTAAGGAGCTATTAAACTTGTCAAGCTCCTTTTAAACATGAATGTTACATATATGTTTGTTGTTCTAAACATGGTACTAGAACTTGTGTATGTTTGTAAATGTTATGCTTCCAGAGAATCCTTAAAATATGTCGTTAAACAGCATTTGTGTAAATATGTCTACTGCTTTATGATAAAAATGGCAAAACAATGGGTTAAAGAGGGAAGTAAAAAAACAACTGTTTATCTAACTACCCCTGTGCTTCCTTCCCAGCAAATATTCAACCCCAGTCTTGTATAGCAATAAATCCCCAGGTATAATTTAGGCAATTGGGATACTTTCTGTAAATTAAGTGTAATTTGCTTCAATAATGTTTTCATATACAATAGTGTGTGGCATATAATGAATATTCAGTGAAAGTTTTCCAAGAGATTAAAGAAAAAAGTAAATCTAATAAAGTATTAAGTGTTAGCTGATTTGTGATGGTTTTTCCTGGTATTTATCAGTTACTAGGTTTTAGTTATTTTAGGAGATAGAAAACAATTTATAACTAGTATTCTTTTCTCTGGGTAAAGATAAGAGGTACAGTAATATTTAATGTACAGCATACATTTAATCAAAGAATTAAGGAATTTAATCTATGATAGAACTTGTCAAGTGAGGGATAAATGAAGAAAGCAAATATATGCTTTTCTGATTATATTTATGAGAGATTTTGAAGATAATAGTTCTATTATCTTTTCCATTTCCCTAGTTCTATTCTGCCCAACTGAAATTTAGCTGCTATTCAAAAAGAAGAAAAAGAAACATACACAACCCAAACCATATCTATTTCCTGATACATACTTATAAATAACTCATTTTGTAAGAATAGATGGATTCTGTCTCCTATGTTTGAGTTATTTTTTCTAGACAGTAAAGCTCATTATCATGGTGTTTGTATTTTAAAATCTAAACAGTAATTCTTTTTAAATATTACAGCTTCAAATCTGATCTTGAGACAGTTGAGACTAAGGACTTCACAGATTCAGAAGAGAACATAAAGCAGGTAATAAAAATGAGATCTCTGTGTTCCACATTGGAATTACAGCTGCTTTAACCAACTAGAGTATGGATAGCTATTTGGACTAAAAAAAGTAATCTCTTAGTGACACTTCTTGCATCTGATACAGCCACTATACAGAAGGTTTGCATATTTACGAGTGGTTAGTTCTCTGAGAATGGGCAGATGGATCCTGCCAACTTGGAACATCATTTGTTGCTAGCATCTCTTCTTGATAGTGGGTTGGCTGGCTAGATAGATGGGTGGATGAATAAAATACTTTAAATATTGTTTTCAAAGTTGCAGACTTAGATTACTGAAGGGTACAGAAAAGTTTTTATGTCTATATATTTTTAAAGAATTGCCACTATATTATTAAAAATTATACATGTTATAGTAGATGGATGTATCATTCTCTTATGTTTGCTTCTACATTTTTCTATATCATAAAGGCCTTTTTTACAGTGTTTATATTTTGAAGGCTTAGCAATCATTTCATTTAAAATATCACAACTTTGATTTTGAGATAGTGATTATTTTTTATTTTTATTTTTGGGGTATTAATCATATACTTGTATTCTAATTTACATTTATTGTTTGTTAAAAGGTTTGTCTATTAAAATGTCAAACAGATTTGGGGATAGAAGAATAAAATATAATCACACTCAACTCCCATCTTCCCTTCTGAAAAATGGGTAGAGGATTGTAGGTTTCCATCTCAGACATTAATAGCTGTTTGACATAGAGACCTGCCATTTAAGACCCAAGGACAAATCACTTACCATCTGAGAGCTGAGTTTTTACATCTAGGAAAACTGTACTGAACGTATAGAATCATTGGTAGGAATAGATGATGTAGGTAAAGTGCCTCGCCCAGCCAAGGCTCAAAAAACAATGGCTGTGACTAGCTTGAGATTTGGAAAGAGCTGTGTATGTAACTAAACTAAAGCAGAATAAGGTCATTTTTATGACATCGTGTTCCAAATGTTTATCCAACATCCTGTAAGAAAATGTTCTGTGCCCATATTCTGTAATCAGTACCACCAGCTATGTACGTGAGGAAGCCCGTAGAGTATTAAAGCAGTAGACCTTCATTTTAACACTTTTAAACTTGTAAAGCACTATACATAAATTTGCATTGTAAAGATTAAATCTTATAATGCAAGTAAATGCTTTTGGCACAGTATGTAATCAATAGTAAGAATTCTATAAAAGTAAGCTGCCAGTAGTTTTGTTAATATTATCGTTCATACTGCCATAGTTGATATGTTGGCATTCGAAACAGCTGGGCTATTTGAATTTCTGAATAATTGGATATTTTTTCTCAAGTTTACCTAAAACTTTCAAATTTGCCTCATTTTCTTTTTATATGTTTACTTGTAGTGATTTCCTAATGTCATATATACCTCATTAAAAATATAAGAAATAAGTTTTTTATCTTATTTTAAATAAAATTTTTTTGAAAGTCCTGATTGGATAGAAAACATATTCTAAAACATCCCTCATCATGGTTATTTACTGGATATCTCTACTCTCTTGCCTTGCTTTCTTTTAAAAAATTTGCTGTTTTGCTTTATTTCTGCCTCTATATAATTGAAGCAAAATAAAGATTTGTTCTCATTGCATCCCCAGGCATCAAGTTGTACGACATATGGTTCCAAAGACAAAATAACCCCTTTACCTTCACAAGGGTATGGCTCACAGTGGGACGAGATGCAAGAAGGCGCTCTTCTTCAGTGTTCCCCCTCGAGGTAGACAGCGCACAGGAGAAATCACGTCACCTGTCTCCATCTAACTGGCTTTCCTATGTTACAGACACGTAGGATTTGCAACATAAGTACCATTTCATTATGCTCTGGTTTTACACAATTCAGTGGCAGTGTTAGCTTTGCTAAGGAAGTTTGACAAATAGGAGCTCAAAAGTTTAAATGAATTCACTTTGCTAATTCATTAGCAAAGGGAAGGGGGACATTGGCCTGTATTATTTGCCATTGCTGGCCATGTAAAAAAGAATTTTCCCCAAGACAAATCCTCTGGCAATGACTCCAACCAGTTTATGTGGCACAAATGATACTGAACACCATACCGTTGAGGATTCCTAATTTGTGATTTTGAATATTCACCGTATGCTCACGCTTGATCTATACATGCTATCTATGTAGAGGCACTGTTTTTTTAACTACTCCTCTTGTTTAGGGATTATGAAATACCGCACCTAAATTAGAAAAGATAGGTTAGCGCCCGTAGTATAGAATCTAAAAAATGCCATTGTTAGTTTCAGCTGCCAAGTTGAATTTCCAGTGTCAGAGACTGGATAAGAGATGAAGGATGTGGAAGAAAGGACTTGAGAGCAAAAAGAGGGCAAGAATGAGGTGTCGGATAGCGGGTCAGCAGGCGAGCACGCAGATCCCTTAGGGCCCAGCTCCTCCCTCAGGCCTTTGCTAGGGAGATCTCACCAGCAAGGCTGCAGAGTTCTTTGCTAACCTGTCTTGAAATTCATTGTGCTCCAGTACTCGTAACTTAAGATTTATAAGCTACTCTTGAGCCGGTCTGCAATGAATGAATATAAAGAATCACCTAAAATAAGAATATTTATCTTTTCTAGTAGTTTCCATCTAAAAGTAAAATACTATAATTGAGCATACCTGAATAAAGAGCTTAGAGTTAACTAAGGATGACATGACTGAACAATGACAAAATTTATCACAATGACCTGCTTTAAAATTTTTTCCATAGGGAAATATCTGTTTTCAGCATTATTTATATTAATCTTAGTCAAATTGTCATTGTTGATACTATGTAAGTGCTATAGTAGTTTTGAAAAAGCTAGTGAATTTGTAATCAGGAAACTAGTGTAAAAATCTGTCTGCTACTTACTAACATGTGACCTTTGCAAGTCATTTAGCCTTTCTGCCCCCTGGTGAACTCATTAGTGAGAAAAATACCTACCCAATATGCCTGTCAGGGTTGTTCTGAAGATTAGATTAGATCATGGATATAAAACATATTACAAATATATAATATTGAACACTTATTGTATACCAACCATTGTTTTGTTCAAATATTTTAATTTTCTCTTTTCAGGGCAGTATGTCAGTATTCCCTGCAGCCTCCTTCAAGGAGAAAAATCTATTCTGAGTAAGATCTTTCTCACCTCTTCATTTTGCTTAGTGGAAATCAAGAATTAAGAACCATACAAACTGTTATTAAGTAAGGTTTGAACACTACTCTCTCTTACAGCCAGCTTTGGGGTTCAGTCATGTAATACATACTAACTTGGGGAAAATGACCAGAGTTTTCTGAAATCATTATCCATCACTTCATCTTTATGTCCAGTGGAAATTGTCCCTAAGTTAATAATAAGCTATAATTCTTGTTTGTTTTTATAAATAAAAATAATAGTGTTTTCAAGAAATTCGGATGTTTAGTAGCTCAGGAGAGCCTTCCTGGACGTTTCTAACCACCCCAGTTCTCTGCAGATGTTATACTTCTCGGTTTTAATGTAGTTAAAGTTAAGCTACCCTTTTTTCAGGGAAAATGATCTATTTTTAGAGTTTTCTTATTCTCAGTCTTGCTATTTAAATATTAGAGATTGTGAATCATTTTGAAAGTGTAACTTTTTATACAATATTTTAATCTTCTATTTGATTTGCTTATTAACTCCTCCCCTTACATTCACTTATTCAGAAATTGAGTATTTACATTTAATAAATAAAGGCTATTTGCATTTTTATCAGTTCACTAATTTTAGCTAATTAAAGTCAAACTTCTAATAGTATCCTAATTTTCTTGTAATAGCTACTAAAATATAGTTATCTCAAAAGATAATGTAATAAAGAAATATGTCCAAGCAATTAAAAAATCACCACTTTATTTTTGTACACAAATTTTCCTTTTAGAATATTTTCCTCCTCTCCCAACACTTTAAGAAAAAAATTTTTTTTAAGTAAATTTAAGTAAAGTAAATTTCCCAACCTTAAAACACTACTCTCTCAGGAGTAGGAGAGGATGTCAGAGTTGAAGTTCCTGCTTCTTGGATGACTTCATCTTTCCCTTCCTGCACGTGCGATGCAAAGAGGCTCACACCTCTGCTGCTGGAGGAGGACAGGAGCCAGAGGATGTTTAAAACCCTCGTCCAAAAAAAAAAAAAATCCTCGTCTTGCTTTTGTCGTCCCCATGTTCCTGGATCACATTCAGTTGCCCTCTTGCCACTGGTTGGTCTCTCTCTTGTTTTGTTTAATCCCTGCTTATTTTTTACTACTGGGTGGATATCTCAGACATCTATAAAATTTTACTCTGCCAGGGAGTATTTTTCATCTTTAATATTTATCTTTGCATAATTTCAGAATATGCAACATAGGCATATGTTTGTTTAATAATATTCCTCTTAATGAGAGAAGTACATTTATAATAGGGATATTTATTTCTAATTAGGTATGTATATTTCCTGTTGTTTTCAGAGTAAGTAATGAATAAATTTTATGCTGTATATTGCCTTGTCTTCACAGTGAAGAAGAACTTTTGTATCTGAGTTTCATTGAAGATGTAACAGATGAAATTTTGAAACTTGGTTTATTTTCAAACAGGTTAGATTTTTAAAATAATACATGGCGGTTGAAGAGTAGTACATTAAATACGCTTCATTTGGTATTTTTTGAAGTTATTTCCATATATTAGGAAATGGAAATTATATTTCTTTCCTGGGGGACCATATTGTAAATAAATTGTAAATAAATAATTAATACTCTAGGCAGGCTCACAGGTTGGGGCAGTTACAGAAAAAATAGAGATTTTATTCATTTTAATACTGTCATATTTCTTGGTTATAATAGACTAGTGAAATAAAGTTTTGCTTCTTATATGCAAAGATCTACAATCCCATTTTGCTATTTGAAACTGTGGTGAGAATCAAAAGCCAGCATTTTGATTACAACTGTTACTATTAAAGTGAGGACAAATTAAAAGCTATGTTTGCATACTGTAAATGAAATGGGAAATGTGCAAAACCAGATTAGGTGTTAATGTACCTAAGGGAGCTGTGTGGTCCTGAATCAGCTCGAACATTTATTTAAAATTCACTGGGCACTGAGCCCCACTTTGTTATGTAGCATAAGACCCCATTTCATTATATATGCTGCATGCTTTCCCTGTCCTGATAATCGTATGCCAAGTACAGACATTCTAATGAATTATTTCTACTTGAAAGCGAACATTTTCATTATTAGTATCAAAAGATACCAAAAGACCTAAATTTTATTACAATAACTCTATTTCTCTCTTTCATTTGAAAAAGATGGATAAAAATGTTTACATAATGGAATACAGTTTCAGATTTGCAAGATGAAAAAGTTCTATTGATCTGTTTCACAACAATGTGACTATATTTAACACTACCGAACTGTACAATTAAAAATGGTTACGATGGTAAATTTTGTTGTGTTTTTTCCACAACCAAAATGTTAACTGTAAATAAAAAAATAAAAACATTTGCATAAAACATATGTATTTATGCTAAAAAACACTTAGATTTTTCCCTTAGATTTTATAAGGCTGTTTATTGCACTGTTTTGTATAATAGCACCAAAAGTTGAATCAAACTAGATGTTGACTAGTAAAGGTTTGGTTGAATAAATTGTAGAATATTTATAAGAGTAAGTTTTGTTCAGAGATTTAAATGTTATACAAGTGAATTTATTGATAGAAAGATGTTCAAAATATATAATTAGAGAAAAACAAAATAAGTACCCAAACATTATGTGTTGTTTAATCCCAGTTTTGGGAAAGAAATATATATGCACAGAAAATTGCCTAGGAGTGAATATTCAAAAACATCAACAGTTATTGTAAAAGGTAGAGTATGGATTTCTTGGGCTTTTCGAAATTATTAAATTATTCAGAACTACTGAATATAAGGTTGGCTCATAACTTCATTAATAATAACAAATGATAACAAAGGAAATTAGTTGTTTTTCAAGAAACCTATTGATACATTCACGTGATAGAAGACGAGCATGATGTAGTTGAAAAAATAAACTCTGGAGCCAGACACATCTGGTTGCATTCTCTTAATGGTTTGTGACCTTAGGGAAAAGGAAATCATTGTCTTAGAGATGTGATTTTCTCATCTTTAAAAATCATTTACAATACCTTTCTCTCCCAATATTGGTCATGATTAGAGGTATAATTATTATGTGCATAGCACTTAGTGGTTCTTAGTAAATGATAACTTTTATGTTTTTATATGGATTTACCATCAGTGGAACATTTGTCAAGTGTGCTTTAGGAAGCATTGTAAAATAACTCTTTATAAAGGAATTGTCTTTAGGGTTTGGTTTATGGAGTAGTGTATATATGAAAGAGAGAGGGTGTGGTGTTTGCACATGAATGTGAGAGGAAAAAAGAGCTTTTAAATGTATGTGTGTGAGAGAGAGAAAAGGACCTTTGGGATGTCATTTAAAATATTTTATGCACAGAAATGTAATAGCATGCAGTCTTCCAGAAACATTGGCATCCGTCGTGTTAACTTAAGTGCAGAGTGGAAGCCACACGAGCTTCCAGATTGGAGAACTTGACAGACCAGGGAAGCGATGGTTTTTAACTTTGGAAAGAAAAAGAGTAATCTAAAAAATATTTTTCAACTCTTAGTAGTTGTTATTGCATGGCTATCTTACATTTAGTTGATTTTGAGACATTAACATTTTTATTTATCATTTGTAGGTTTTTAGAACAACTGTTCGAGCGACATATAAGACAAAATAGACACCATTTGGAAGAGGTTTGTCTTTCCTTAGAACTTAGTTAGAAAAATTCTAATATAGAAAGAATTTTAAAGTTTTTCCACACCCTGAAAAGATACATAAAAAGCAAGTGCTTTTTTTCCCTTGCACTTTGTGTGTGTTCGGGGGCGGGGGGCGGGAGGAGGGAGAAGTATTGATCCTGCTGAGATTAGAAGCACTGCAGACAGAAGTAATGCATTTACCTAGCTTAATTAATGTAATTGTGCATGTCCTTTTCTTAATCCTAGGGGAAAATGCGCCACCTGCTTCATACCCTAAAGGTGAATTTAGGCTGCAAGGAAAATTCAGTACAGCTGGATGAAGTCGATACGTTGAATTTACTTGACTTTGAAAAGGCTGAGAATTCAGAACAAAATAAATATAAAAGTAAACCAGATGCAAGGATTCAACAGGAACGTCAAGAGTACCAAAAGGCTTTGGATATGTTATTGACTATACCAAAGGATGAGAATGAGATATTCTCACCAAACGAATTTTTCCTGCCTATCTATAAATCAAAGTATTCAGAAGGGGTTATAGTTCAACAGGTGAATGATGAAACAAATCTTGGATGTTCAGTTTGGGATGAAAAAAATCCAAGTATTTCGGACAGCTTAACAGACCAGGAAACCTCTGTGAATGTCATTGAAGGTGATAGTGACTCTGAAAAGGTTGAGACTTCAAATGAATTATGTTGTCTTAGCACAGCACTGTGCCAGCCTGTTCAACTCTGCAGTGTCAAAGGTGACAATAATCATGACGTGGAAGGACCGACTCTTAAGATCATGGAAATGAGCATCGAGGACTGCCCTTTGGATGATTGACCTTCATTAATAAATATCCCAAATGGCCAGTGATTCAACATTCCTTTTTTCTCTTTTTTTCTTTTATATGTTAAGATTTTCTATGCTGAATAATAAATTACCATAAATTTAGCAGCTTAAAACAAAAACACATGTATTATTTATCCCACGGTTTCTGTGGGTCAGTTGCCTGAACATAGCTTGGCTGGGTCCTCTGCTGTGGGTCCCAACAGCTGCAGTCCAGGCATCGGTCCAGTCCAGATCTTGTCTGAAGGCTTGATTGAGGTGGGGTGGGGGGACCTCCCAAACTCTTTTATGATTGTTGGCTGAATTCCTTTCCTTCTAGTAATAGATCTGAAACCTTCAATTTCTTGCTAGCCATTGGTCATCAGCTGTCCTCAGCTCTTAAAAGCTGCCCACTGTTTCCTACCACATGGCCTTCTCCACAGGCAGCTCACAATATGGCTGCTTGTGTCTTCAAGGCTAACATGAAAACGAGAGAGACTCTGCTAGAAAGAGTCTTATTTAACAGTCACAGGAATTACTTTCTATCATCTTTGACATTTTCTTTTGGTTAGAAGCAAATCACAGGTCCCACCTACTCATTACAGAAGGATGTGAATGCCAGAAGGTAAGATTCACTGGGGTCACCTTAGGATCTATTGGCCACAATTTCTAAGATGTTTCTCAGGAGCACAGAATTTACTCAGTCATAAGTGGTTTTGTAGGCAATGGGAAATGGTTTTATGATCTGGTGCAATCTTAAAACATTAAGCTTGGTCTACATTATTTTTAATTTCTTCTCACTTTCCTGCAGCATTTAAAGCCTCAAGGCCTTTCTAGTTATCAGTGAGCTAGAGCCGTCTGCCAGCTACCTGAAAAATTGTCCCTTCTTATGAAGGCAAATATTCTGTAGACCCAATCAGACACCCTCCCTTTACCACTGTAGTTCACAAATGGGATCCTTACTATTAATATATGACTCATCTCTAGTTATATCTTTTCAACTACGTACAATAATGTGGTTGAATATTTGAGTGCCTGTTATATACAAAGTTGCATGACTAAGCACTGTGGAGCACAAAAAGATGAAACAATAATGACAACCCAAATGTTCTAGAATCTTACCAATAGTCTCCAAATATCCATTCTTTAACTCGAGATTTTTATCATCCTTTGCCCACACCAGTGTTTCCCAAAAGGTAGCACATACCACCGGTGGGATCAGAGCAGATCTCTGGTGGTTCATAAATGACACGTCCAACATCACCGCTAGGTGCAGGATTCGGCCTCAGGGACAAACCGCAAAGTACAGTGGGGCGGGGGCGGGGCGGCGCGCTGGAGCCACAAACTCCTCCAGAGTTTTATGCCCAAAGAAAGTCTCATTGCTGCAGCCGGTCCTCAGCCCCGCCGACCCCTCAGTGCTCGCGTCTAGAGTTCCTCCCCTTAACGCTCTGTGCAACCGCTCCTTTCCCCGCCCTGCGACCTTCTTAAACCTCCTAAAATATCTGACCCTGTTCTTGGGTCCCAGCCTGGGTCTCGCCGTCAATCGTGCTTCACCTCGATATTCACTTCTTGGACTTCATCAGTCCGTCCGTCCGCCTGGGGGCTCCTTCAGTCCCAGCCTCACCTTCACAAACCCCTGCACCCATTATCCACGCACCTACCTCAGACTCACTGCCCTGGCTCACATCTTTCTCCTCAGCTGGAGCTGCCGTCTTGCTTCGAGCATCTCAGTAACTCCTCGCCTGCGGCTCCTGCACTCTTGGGCCCGGGCCCAGCCCCAGGCCCACTGCCTGTCCTGCTTTGACATGTCCAGCCTTCTGTATCCTCTAACTCTGGGTACAGCTTTTTGTCTTTGAGGCCATGACCCTTCCTGACCTTTGTACCTATTAGGGTATTTTTGTTGTTGTTATCCTCAGGTTTCCCTTTAAAAATTACATTTGAAAAGATGAGTTGGTTTACAGAAATATCAAAAGTGATTCTTGCATATGGCAAAGTTGGGTGAAGGTGGGAAGTGAATGGTAAGTTTGAGAAACACTGGCTTAGACTCTTCAAGCAATATTGTTATTGATACCTCTCCCTCTGCCCTCCCCATAGCTCATCCTCAACCCTGACTCCTGATGAGCGAGCCTCTCAAGCCAGCTTACCTGGGTTTGGCCCTTAGGAACTAAGCTGGGTTACTGAGCCTGTATGTGCCCCTGTTTGTTGAATGGGGTAATTACAGAGCCTTCATCACAGGGCTGTAAATACGCACAGGCTGCTATTGTCATTTTAAAGCAGACCATAACACCCCTTCTTTAAACAAACAAACCTTTTAGTTTCCTCTTGCTAAAAATATAAAGTACAGGCTCTTTGCATTTTTTTTGTTTGTTTGTTTTAATAATGAAACCGTTTTATAGGCTAGTTGATATAAACAAGAGTTAAGTTCCTATGGCACATTCTGGTCACCAAACTTCTAATGAAAGACCTGCAGAACTTCTAATATTAAACACTGAAAAAGATGCAAGCTATGTATGCATTTAAGAAAGATTCATAAAAACAAGGTAATGACTTCCCAACCCGCTTATTCCAGTTCAGGGGCTCAGGTGGCCGGAGTCTATCCCAGCAGGTCAGGCAGGGCACCAGGTGGAAACCAACCCTGAACAGGACACCCGTCTGTCACGGGGCCGCCCACACCCACACTCAGACTGGGACAATTCAGACACACGCATTCATCTCACACGCACATCTTTGGGATGGAGGAAACCTGAGTCCCTGCAGAAAACCCACACAGACGTGGCGAGAATGCGCATTCTGGGGAATTGACATTCTTTTCTCATCAAAGTTATAACGAAATGATGTTGAATGAACTGATGTTTATGATGACGTTGAGGAAATGAATTAGAACCAGAGAAAAAATCTTTTAAACTTAACTCTGACATATAGAAGAATGGAATGAAGTGGAAGCATACGAAATATTGAGATGGGAAGATCAATATCACAAAAAGAACAACACTTTGCATTTTTTTTATAGTCATGTTTTCCTTCCCAGCTCTCTTGCCATCATCTCCCAGGCATCCTAAGTGTCTGTCACATCTCATTGCTTGTTCCCTAAACATACAGAGGTCCTCTCTATGCTTTTACTCTTGCTGTCTGCTCAGAACGTCATTTCCCTTCCACTGCCCTCTGAGCTTCACTGATATCCCAGGTCGAATGTAATTGAAACCTTGAGTGCCTGTCCCTACTTTTGTCCCACATGCTCTGGGATCTGGGATCTTTCATATCTACAGCATGAATTAAAATATTGTTTATGTACCCAATTTGTCTCCTGTCTAGACTATGGGCTTCTGAAAAAGGAGGACTGACTTCTCTTTGGATCCCAGGCCCTCGTCTGCTTGAGAATGAATGCGTTTGTTCATGGAGGGAGATAGTCTGAGCTGGAGGGAGGTTTAGCTACAGACAAGGTTGTGGGACAGATGTTTCCTTTTCTCTTTATACTCAGGAAGTGCAAAGTCCTTATGTAGAAGGGAGAAGGTAGCAAATGGCGAAGTTACATGAAAATTTCCCCGTTCACTCACATTTTAAATGGTGTAAAATATAAATTAGCATCTTCCTGAGAAGTCTTACTTTAAAGTCACATTTTTTCCAGTTCTGAAGCCATTCAGAAAAGATCAGAGCAGCTTTTATGGGGCAAGACGATAATTTTCCACGCAGATTAATTAGCTGTGTAGTCATCAATGAATTACTTTTTACCCTGGGCCGCGGTTTAAGAGTTTGGACTAGATGATCCAAAGATTTCTTTTAGTTTTAACATGTCAAAGTTAATTCTTGGGACCTTTAGAAATTATAATTGAAACAATTTACATCTAGAAGTAGAAACGCCTATGTTTCCTGTCACTGTCTGCTAAACCAATACACACTTCAGTGGTAGAAGATGCTGCCTAACAAGTTACTGTCCCCAGACCTTTTAAAAGCAACAGATGGAGCCAATAATGGCATATCCCGAAAGAACTAATCCATGTGTCTAATTAAAGGGCCAGGAAGAAGATACTCTTGAATTGGGGTAAGATTTGCTTCAAAGCCAACCTTGTTGCCTTGAGAATTCTGTCTTGCACCAATATTCAAGTTTTGGGGCAATCTTGGATGTGAGGCTTCTCTGTTCGCCTAGCTCTTCCAAGAATTGAAAACAGGTGAGTTGACAGTCAAGATTTTTCTGAGAGGAAATATATACTGTTTTATTCATTTTCTATTGTTACTGTTACCACGTTACCACAAATTTATTGGCTTGAGGAAAAACATTTATTATCTTACCATTATAGAAGTCAGAAGTCCTAAAACCAAGATGTTGCTGGGTCTGCATTCTTCTTGGGGGCTCTAGGGGCAAATCTGTCCTTGGCCTTTTCCAGCTTCTAGAGGCTGCCTGCATCCCCTCCCTCGTGGACCCCTCCTCCATCTTCAAGGTCAGCTGTGTAGTTATCTTCAAATCTCTCACCCCTCTGCTTCCATCATCTTACCTCTATTCACCTGCCTACCTCCTAAAAAGATCCTTGTGAGTACTTGGGGTAATCACCTGGATAATCCAGGAAACTCTCACCATCTCAAGATCCTTAATCACATCTGCAAAGTCCCTTTCGTCACATAAGATACCATTTGCAACTTCCGGGGATTAGGACATGGACATTTTGGGGGGCCCATCACTAACCCTACCACAATTGTAAATATCAGTAACCTAACAAAAATTGCCTAAATAAACTTTTGTGCCTATTAATTGTAGCTTGGCTATGTAATGAATCCCGAGTTAATTACTAAAGCACTGGTTCTCATACTTCAATATACTGAAATCACCTGGAGAACTTAATATAGATTTCCGGGTCCCAACCTCAATAACTTCTGATTCAGAATTTTCAGATCTGGGTCGAGCCTCAAGAATTTGCATTTCTAACAAGTTTGCAGTGCTGCTGTTAGTGTTAGAAAAACCACCTCACTAAAAAATGAAGTGGATATTTAGTGGATAGTAAGTTCCACTCCAGGGATGGAAGGTGAGGGGCTCTGGAGACCCCTTGGGAAGCTGACATTGTTGGGAAGTTGGTGTTATTAAGTACATGAATGTGTATTCTTTAAATATGTTAATTGTTCCACAAATGCTCTAATTAGTGAAGTTGGCTGTTTTAATAAGATGCATTCTAACTCTTAAGTGCTTGAATACTGTGGAAATGTGTTAATACATTAGCAACTACTAAAAGTAACCTTTATTGTCTAGTACAGTGGTCCTCAATCTTTTTGGCACCAGGGACCAGCACTCCTACAAGAATCTAATGCCGGATGATCTGGGGTGGAGCTGAGGCGGTGATGCTAGCGCTGGGGAGCGGCTGCAAATACAGATGAAGCTTCGCTCTCTCACCCTGCTCACCTCCTGCTGTGCGGCCCGGTTCCTAACAGGCCACTGACCCCTACCAGTCAGTAGCCTGGGGTTTGGGGACCCTTGGTCTAGTACATTATTTAAAATAACCCAGAGGAGAAACAGGACTAATTATATGCCTCTTTGCAATAAGACCTAGAATGAAAAAGAGGCAAAAGAGTTTTAATTGCACTATTCACACACAAATCATATCTTGCTTCAATATTTATTTTTATGGCAAAAATAGACTATATTCATTTCACATATATTACATTCAAACTTATTTGCCACACACACTTTTATAAACCAATGAATTTAGAATTAAGCTCTTCTGATTACATTTTTACACTGATCATCAGATAGCACATAAAATTGCTTTTTAAATTAGAAAACTAATGCAACTATTTGTACTACCATTTCAAAAAGGTAGAATTCCCAGTGCATTGTTTGCATTATAGGGAAGCTTTCAAAGGAAATTATTTCATATAAATTTCCTCCCAATTTTCGGTTTGTTAGGCCTGTTGTTTTATTGACCTCTGTTGAAATTTTTTATTTAAATCAACACACTATATAAATGTTTATTTTTAAGTATGCTTTCCTAAATTTACTGTGGGTGTGGGTAGTGTTTGGATTGCTTCAGTTAAAAATCATTCCTATACAATAACTACTTCAATTTCTCTATCGGGCCACAAAAACAAATGATGCAAATAAAACACATTAGAGCTCTACTACTCTAAAATATGTTACATAGTATTTTTTTCTTTTATTCTTTTTCTCTCATCTTTTTGTGTAACTCATGTGGTTTAAGAGTTTTGTGTTGTTTTTCATCTTGTTTTTATTAAATCTATTCTGGAAATAACTTTGTCACCTCTGGATAATATTTACTTTTGTTCAGGCTATTTGTTGGACTGAACTAGTATTGCATTGGTATTATTCTAGTGAAACTGCAAAACCTTTAGATCCATTTAAGACACTTAACTCTTAAGAATAAATTACTACATTTCAAAAACAAATACAAATACTATAAAACACCTAACAAAAGATTTGTCTCATTGAATGCTCTGTTAATTTCAAGCAATTTCTAATAAACTTCTAGGATAAAAAAATTTAGAGTCTCAGCATTTATATCAGTCTGACTTGGCAATATTTGCACTCTTATGAAAAATGAGTGACTGAGCTTCTATTCCCCACTTACTTGTTCACTTTTTCTCAGCCAATAAATGAGCAGATAGAAATGGAAAGCCAGTTATCAGTTATCCGTACTAGTCTCATCAACCTACCCCAAAATTGAAGAATGACATACTGTTAGGACTAACCCAGAAAAACCTGATTTTCTTTGGCAGTATAGACCTGCTCCTAAAAGTGAATACTGTAGTGTTTTTTTTCACCAAGCTTTTGAAGTGTAAATTTAAAATACACATGCACATTTAAAATGTCAATAGTGACAACTGAAATAAAGTACTGGTCTTTTTACAGTGTAAAAACCAACTACCAGTTGAGTTAAAATTTCAGATTTATAACACTGGGATCGTGTACTGCTATAGCCAACGTGGGTGTACTGTGTTATAGATTCAAAGCCAAAGGGAGGGATTTTAAGTGGTCCTTTTATATGACACACCATGAAGTCATTTAATAGAAGTTAAAGGATAATGATCAAAACATTTACCTAATATAATTAGTTTTCAAAAACTTGGAACAGTACCATCAGCCACATTGTTAATTCTAGTTAATTCAAACACAATTATTCCATCATTCATTTGTACTTATAACATAAAAGCATAATTTTAAATCATGTTTACCATCTTTTCCCTAACCCATCAATATATTAGAGAAAGTTTAGATTTACTCTAGTTTTTGAAAACTTTTTAAATTTCTCAAATATACTAGGTTAAGCACTTTTGTAAATATGATGTACAGCCAGACCCTAACTTACATATATGTGACCTGGAGATACTCCTTACATGGGAATATTTGCCTTGGAACTGCTGCTGCTTCTGCTGGGTGCTGCAGACCTTAAACTTCCTTCCTGGTCCATCCTCAACTTCTCAGTTCATGCCAGTGACAATCCAAAGGAGAACACGTGAGTGGAAACAGGAAAGGCAGGGGGACATATTGCCAATTCATCCTCTTTCACCCCTGCCCCTCCAGTCATAGCGTTTCATGGGCAGCATCCCTGCTCACTTCATCGTTTGTCCCGTTCTGATCCTCACCCTTCATGCATCACTCGTTTTTCTAACAAATGATGGGAATGATATTCACTTACGTGGAGTTCTCTCATGAAACACATCAGTCTGCCTTCAGCTGCTTGCAGACTCTCAGTCCCCAGTGCCAGGCAGGCACAGAGAGAATTCCTTCTCTGCTCTCACCACCAGGGAGCAGTAGGGGGAAAAAATTCTGTATATTTTTTCTTAGAAGTACTGATTATGCTGATTTGGTTCTATGCCGTTAAGAGCCCCTGTGGTTAAAATAAGCTTTGGGAGGACAACCAAGAAAGTTAACACCCACTTAGAGTATTGTTTACAAGGGGAAATATTACTATGTCTCAATAATTCAACATACATCTGGACTTTTAGAGCATAATTTTTATTTCAGAACTGGCCTGTAGTTAATATACAGAAAACGATGTCACTTTAACAATCCAAGGACCTCTTCAAATGTCTTCTAAAATCCTCTCTTTACTCACCCTCCCCAGCACACACAAACTTTAAACAACTGGACTGATTTTTCCTCATTTTTTCCCTAAGTAATTGTAGATACGAGGTAAGTGGAGCCCTTATCTACAGGAATTTGAAAATCTCATGTTCTTTTGAGAAACACTTTCCAGGCAAATTGCTAGTGTACCAATTCCTCTATTTTTGAAATGTCTATCCCTCAGCTCAAAAACAGAGCCCTCTCTGATTTGGATTTTTAAAAATAAACCTTAACCTGGGAAGAGAGAGTTTTAGCTTGATCCATATACAGTCTTGATGGGAAGCAAATTTCCTAAATTTATATCCAATAGAGCTTTTTAAAGACTTTTTAGTTTGATTTTTTTAAACGATTTACAATAAACAGTAATTCTTGTTTCCATTTGTGCGTGCAAATCTCAAATAAACCTACACACCCAGTAAGTTGCAGCTGACTTCCGGTTTTACGGTTTAGAACATATAAAGTTTTATATTCTATATAACATATACATCTAAATTTTCTTAAGATTGTGAACATTAACATATCAACCCATTTGAAATGACTGTTTTCCTCTGATGATGAAAGCGTCACAGAAAAGTTGGCGAAGCCTGCTGTCATCACCTGGGCCTACACCCCAACACTCTCCCCCGCGTTTCTGCCTAGACCTTTCTAAGGAAGCACAGGGCCCACCTCAGCTTTAATCCTGCCACGAGATTGTAAAGGCTAAATTCTAGGGCTTTCTGAATGCTTCACAGTAGATGTTCCAGAAGAAAATAATTAATAATGACTGCAATTAACATTTCAAATGATACTCTAAAATGAACTTTCCTGTGCTCAAAAGTACCAACTAGAATATTTCATCAAAAGGCCCCCCCACTAATCAGGAAAATTGATGCCAGAGATGCCAAAATAGATCAAGGGAAAACAGTGGTTTATAACCAAAGGAGAATATGTTAAGTGGAAACTGGAAACATTTTGTGAAAATGGACATTTTGGTAATTTTGATTTGAAATAAATAATATCAAGGAACTAAAAGACACTAAAATATTGAAGCATTGCGTAAGTTTGGCAGACAGTAACAGCCTCAATTCAGATGGGGTAAGACTATGAAAGCACAATGTTTTATAGTTCCCTCTTGAAAATCACATTATTTCAAAGTCTAGTCATGTAGATTTATTTTTATTCAGGAATACATGGGTCTTAGAAGCTACGTCATGCAACATTTTAAGAGTGACATTCAAACAGTATAAGTTAGCCCTTGTAATTTCCTTATAATCAAATTATTACAACAGGCACACAAACATACATATATTACTCTTTAGGATTCCATTCTTCTGGAGAGCCCTTTCTGAATATTTATACTTGGGTCTATTGTGCTTTAAACAGGAGTCTTAAAAACAATTTCAGGTTTAAATTAATATTTTGTTCCTAGGTGACAATGGTACCCACTGGCAATATTCTTTTTTCACTAATGTGTCCTGAATCTTCCTCTTACGTGGTTGGTTTCTGAGTAGCTCAGAGTGAGGCAGATCCACCGTACTAAGTAAATCCTGTCTCATAGCTGACAGCACATACACACTTAGTGGTCACAATAGCAAGGTAAACTGCTTTAGCAATTCCCACAGAAACTGGAACCAACCCTAGGATACTGTAGTTTGGGAAAGTGGCCCTAGATTTGACATTTTGGAAGTTTTGTATTTTGGAGCAGCAGCCTCAGAAGAAAGAACAAAGAGATGGCTCCTCAGTTAAACGTACCAATCGGTCCTTACCTACTCGGCAGCTCTCACTGTGACGAGGCCATCTTGGCCTGGGCCAAAGGCGACACTCTCCCTCTTTAATTCAGCCTGTTTCTTCTGCCCGCTGGGATGGGGGTGGAGGGACTAAGAAGCTAAAACTGACCTGAAGGGTGAACGTAAGGGGATTAGGGAGCTAAAACTCACGTACCTCCTGAATATCACAGCACCTTCTGGTAGCCTTGCAAGTTTGGGCTATGGTTTTAGAAGATGAGGTGAAACTATTACTAACTCTTCTTTCAACCGGAAGAAAATAAAGCCTCTTCCAGGCTTCTTTTTGATTTTATTTGTCAGAAAAGAACAGAGTTTTAGGTGGAAGAATTCCAAGGAAATAAGTGAGTCACTGAGAGTGACAGGCCTAGAATTTCCCGGGGACACCTCCCTCTGCGGGGTGGAGTCAGCCTCCATACTGTCAAGCCCCCACTCTCCATCCCAGCATCTCGGTCTAAGGATAGATAATACTGTGTTTCTGTACACACGAAGGCATCCGCAGTTACCGTCCTGCACGTACTCTCGTCCTAGTCACCCTACATACTCTTATGCCTTACTCTTCTACAACACTTCTGAAACAATGTCCACTCTTATCATTTCATCTGTAAAGCAACACATATATTAAAACACACTTATTGTTTTTAACAAAAGTGCAACTGTTTTTTCACTTCCATCCTATGCAATTGTTTTTTTACTTCGTTTTCAACCAATAAAATCAAACTCATTTAGATTTAATAATAATACTGAAAAAAATAGTGAATCTGATTATGCTCTTACATTTTTAAATAATGTGCCTTCATTCCCAACTTTCCCTTAAAGGACTCATTTCAGTACTTTAATGAGTTGAAATCTTGTTTAGAAGGTACAAATATATAGAATTTTTAGGATAAAAAATTTTCTGAATATAAAAATGCTGTCTAAATGCTTCAAAATAACACTTTTAGATTCTTCTTGCAGTTTGAGTTTGGTAACTAAACTCTTAAGTACCCAAGATTTTTTAAAAATAAAAGATAGTAACATGGTTTTAAATATAAAGTTATAAAGGAACCACTCATATCTGTGGATCATCCTCATGGAAGGTTCAGTTTTTCGACAAGAAAACCCCAAATATTTTAGTCATAAAATAAAATTCCACTATCAAAAACTTGTTTAAGATAGAAACCTATGCTCCTTAATGATTGCCACAATGGCCGGGCATAGCTTCAGTAAAATACAGAATTGTCTGGAAAATACAATCTCCAAAATGTGTACCAGTGCTGCGAATCAGACAGCCCGGAGCCGGGCGATGCCCGCGACGCCAAGGCCGCCTTCTCCGCCCCTTCCTAGGTGAAAGGCTCCCGCTTCCGCCTTGCGCTCTGCACACCTGCGCAGCGCACCGCCACGCGCACCGCCACGCGCACCGAACTGCCCGATGTAGCGTTCCGCGCAGGAGAGCGTGGAGGAGAAAGTACGAGTCAGGAAAGCACTTTTCTCAGCTGTAAACGCTTCCCGTGATCAGGGCCCCTTGAGAAGCCGTGGGAGCTTATATGAGCCTTGAACTTTTCAGGAACTGAATGAGAACCCGATACACAAACGTGTACTGGCAGAGGGTCTGCACCATCATCATCCTCTGCTGCCTCAGCATGTCCAGCACCCTGGGGATGTCCAGCACCTGCAACAGAGAAACGGCCACGAGGGTAACGCACCCCGCGAAGAGCGACAGGGAGAGGGGGGCAGTTTGTGTCCTAGAGGAATATGGTTAGGGGACAATCTCCTATCTTAGCGTCTTCTATTAAAAACCCAAGAAACTGTGTAGGGCCATGCCCCCCTGAACGTGCGGGATCCCGTCTGATCCCGGAAGTTAAGCAGGGTCCAGACTGATTAGTACTTGGATGGGAGTCCACCTAGGAAGACTAGGTGCTTTAGGCGTAAAAAATAAAAAAATAAGGATTATAAGCTGACAAGGTCCTTGCAGTAAAAACCCGAGAAACTTTGTTCAGAAAGGGCCGTGTAGGTCACTAGGTCCCTCTCCTCCCCAGCACTGTGCTGGACCCACTCCCCCCGCCCACAGCACTAAAAGAGGAAATAAGCACCTCATTGTGTTCCAGACAGGCAATCATGATCTCTGACAGGATGACGACGCCAGTCCTGCCCACGCCGGCACTGCAGTGGACCAGCACGGGAGGGTTGGGGCTTCTCGGTTCACTCGTGCTATTGGTGTGGCGGCGGACAGACTGGATCTCCTCGAGGTATGCTGTGCAACATCCATGGGATGGAAAATTACTCAGGGATTAAAACATATCAAATGGACAATTTTCATATTATTCCCACTGACCAATCTGAGAGGACTCCAGACAGGGAGCTGGGTGCCCGTTAACCAAGCCCGGCCCCTGAGTGACAGTGGGATCTCGGGCGAGTCACTGACTCTGTCTGGACTTCCATTTTCTCATCTACAAAATGAAATGGAGCAGAAACTCTCTAAGAGTCAGTTATTAGTGTCTGCTTGCTACTAAATTATACTTCAAAATCTTCCATTTAAGCCTCCCCCCAAACCCTTAAAATTTCGTTTTAAAACAAGTCCGACGCTTATACGAGACAGCATAAAGGAAACATTTCAGGGACATGAGTCTTCCTCTGTGTGGTTCAGGCCGTGCTGGGAATGAAGACACTTACACAGAAATCCCTTGAGGTCCTCTGGACAGCCGTGCTCAGGCCAGTCCGTGTACTGGAGATGCCAGACCGTCCTCTCCTGGCCCGTGAGAAGGTGCTTCATCTTCAAGCCTGTGGTGGCATAGCAGCCAGAGTCTGTGCGGAACCGGGTTGTGATCTTAAACCTTCCGTAGGTGACGGTGTTGTGCCTGGAGCCGAGTCGCGGCCAGTACCTGAAGCTCTTCTCCCTGCCGCCCTCCTGTCAGGCAAGCACACGGACGGTCAGAGCACGAGGCACCACCACGCAACGGGCGCGCTCGCAAGCTCAGTGTCTGAAGCTCAGACCTGCAGCCCCACCCCACCTTCTTCTCTAAATCGGGGCCCGACATGGTCAACTTTTCATTTGAGGCTGAGACAATCCATTCAGAGACACGAGGACTCACCTCTTCTGCTGTCACCATTGCTATAATAGCAATTCCCTGTTCCCACACCATCTGCCAAAAATCCTGACAGGTATTCTGTAATGGTCCCTGTGTTGCAATATAATCCCATTCAATTCCACTGACAGAGACCTGAGATTAGAAAGGGTTAAAAAAATTAATGTGTGTGTAAGACCTGTATGTATTTATGCATACATAGACATTTGTTTGTGGTAATACTAAGTGAACTGGGGAGCAAGGGTCTGGTGGGGGCCCAGGGGGAAGCTGTCACCATTTCGTCAGGCAAGGACCATGAGGTCCCACACTGGTGAGCAGTAGGTCCACCAGTTCTGAAGCTCAGACTTCCCACTATTCTTCACTGTCGAACTCCAACGTTACGCAGTTCTCATCCACCCAGTCAGGAGAGACTGGGTGAGTCATTTCAAAGAAAAGCTCGCTTGTTAAATAAAATAAATTATGTGCAGATGAAAAAGCATGTGCAGAGATTCCCAAAGACGGTCAAGGGTACTGGCATCCGCAGGCAGATCGCCAGGTCTCTCGAAAGCCTCAACTGTGAAACTAATCTCATCAAACGTCACTTGCAAACTAAAGAAAATGTGGGAGACAAGAAAATCAGCATCTGACCACAGACCCTTCTTCACTCACCATAAGGAAATTTGTCCTTCCCAAAATAAAGAACTGACTTTCTAGCCAGCATGAGCAAAGTATGCAGTAGTGGAGAAGAGAGAGCATCTGGCTTTCCTCACTACCTGTTGTGAATCATCACTTTTTCCATTTTAATGGGTGTCACATTATCCCAGTTAAATGGCATTATACTATTTCCAGGGGGAAAAAGTGGCAGTGCTTCTTCGAAGAACAAAATAACGTTTAAAAATGGTTTTAGGAGTGTGCAGTGAGAACAGATGGTGCCATTGTAAATAAAAGCTTTGGTGAACACACCGAGAAACCGAGACTTTGGTTACATAAAAATGCACGGAGGTTTGTCACAAGGAAAAATTAATTCGGCTGCTCCTGAGAGAATGTATGTTAAAAAAAAAAAAAAAAAGTCTTCAGACTTAGAAGGACAAAGTTCAAATAAGTGCTTCGGAGTCCTGACAATGCTGCTGGGGGCACAGTGCTTTACCACGTGGAGATTGCAAATGTGGCTTCGGCTCTGTTGGTAAACACTTTCTATCCAGCCCTGCTGTATGGACTTCCCAGCTAATAATACAGTTTCTCACAACGGTTCAAAACTAAGGTGTTTTTTAGAATAGAAGCGTGACTAGAATTCTAACATTCCTGTAATTTAACTCAGACCTTCATGCCCCGTTTATTATTCTAAACGTGCCGCTCACCTTCATATGCGATGCATTGATGTAACCAGTGTTGTTTTCCTTGGTTGGGACCAACTCTACCCTGGTGTCGTCATAGGGAAGGACATCCGGGAATCGATTCCTTTCTGCGTTTTCAGGGAGTCGTGCTGTCGAGCACTCCCCGTCCACTAGCCGTTTTTTAAGAATTCTTTCATATTCTGTGAATACCATTCCCTGCTCTAACCGCTGTTCCAGGATTTTACACTGTAGAGTACGTGGAATAATGTGAATACAGTTACACTGACACAGCTGCATTTTGATTGTACATTTTAAATCTTGTTTTCTGCTTCAAGCCTAGCATTATGTGTTATACTGAAAATTCTAGGTGAAACCAAAGTTAAATTTTTAACAAGCCATAACAATGATAAATGAAATAACCTTACTGGTGAGAAATAAATGCAGTTCTGTTTAAAGGTGAAACTTGGCCTAAAGCAATTTGTGGAATTCATTTTCTCTAAATTTATGGTCAGTTTTGTGATGGCCTATGAAACAAAATTCTCCTAGAGAACACTAAATCCTGGAGTAAGAGAATCAATTTCAAAATCTATGAACAAATGCTTCAATTTTATAATATATAATTATATAAAAAACTGAAAGCAGTAGTAAATTCTGGAAACTATCTCCAGGATAGATTTGTAAGCGAATTAATTTTTGCTTAGCATAATTTATGCCTGTCTCAGTCACAAAGGAAGCTTTGAAAAATTCAGTTAACTGTTTACTCTTAAGATAAAATTTCAGCAAATGAAAGCAATGTCTGCTTTCTTTCCTGTGTATACGTGTTCATATGCATTTATACGTTTCCTCTAACTTTAAGGCCATCAAAAATCAACACAGCCACAGATGGCTGGAAGAAGGTAAAGAACAACATTCAGAAACAAAAAAATCAACGCTCTTAGCCCAAAGTTATCTCTTAAGGTATTAGGTGCAAGTCTGCCCCAGTGCTGAGGTCCAGATTACAAAATTCCTTAATGCTCATTTGTGATTATTAAAGGTGACAGAAAATGCATTATCATCTCAGGAAGAAAATTTTTAGCATTTCGTCTGCTATCCCAGAGAAGGGATACAGCTAGGGTGACTCAGACATACCCTCTCATCGTTGGTGGCTCTGGCAGGCACATCCTTTCCTTCAGCAGGCAGAGGCAATCGAGATAGGGAGAGTCCATTCAGGGCAGCCAATTTGAGAGGACCGATTTTTTTTGCATCTACTCGGCTCTTTTTCATTCCCTACAAAAATATATGTATATATGAAATATACACAAATACAACCCCTTTGGGGGGAAAAAAATGTCATCGGACTGAAGACTCGAAAGAAAAAGAGGGAGCGTTCTCCTTTGCCAACAACCACAAAAGAACTTACGCGCCACAGCCGCACACACTTGATTAACAAACACTGGGAGGAAGGCATTCCTTTCAAGACCAAAGCCCTGATAAGTCTTCCAGATAGGAGGTTTTGAAATGCAGTTGGTTTCAGGGTTCTGTTGTAATGACAGGTGAGGCTCCAGGCAGACAGCATTCCTTCCCAGAACTCCCAAATCTCAGAACATGGCACATCAAAAATTCAGCTGCCGTCTTCAAAAAGGGTTTTAAATGCAATCACCTGACTGCAATAAGCTTTTGTGATATTTTAAAAAATATATAAATTAGTTCTTTAAATTATTCTGAAATAAATAAGTAAATGTTTTCTGTGGTAGCACTCTCTATTCTGTTCTGTATTATACTGCAGGACTTGTGTGACCTGAGTTGGATCACCAGACCTCTCAAAACCGCCACATTTTTAAGCCAGGGAGATAAAACAGGGCTGAAATCTCCATCATGACACCAGGAGGCCCGGGTACGAGAGCTTCGGCAGCATGCTGTCTCCTGAACACAGACTTTTCCTACAGTTATTATCAAAGCTAGTGATTTTCTTCTCCAAAGAGAACAAGCCTAAGAATGCTAAGCCTCCTTAGATATTCTACAGCTCCTTGGAATTAAAATGACACTAGCCCCAATCTGGAAGAAATGGTTTTCTCAGTTCTGTGTCATCATAAGCCAAACCAGCTCTACCAGCCTGGGAGGGAGGGAGGGTTAGGGAGACAGGAACAGAGGGAGAGAAGGAGACTAAAAGTTTCCTGCACAGGTGAAAATTTCATGATCCTCATGTGCGTAGAAAATAGTGATATGGTGGTAAATGTTTAACAGCTCGCACTCCGGGGTGGGAAGTTCTCATCTGTAAAGTTTGCCAATTTACACAGGGAGAACACTCCCACCACGGCCAATTTCAATCGGCCAGTGTAACATCACGAGGCTTACAAAAGCCCTGACAATTTAACAGCTCGTGCCAGCTAGTATAAGATGGCTCCAGGACTTCTCTGCCTGAAAATGACTCAAAATGCCCCAGAACAGGCATGCTGGGTGAAGGGTCGTTCTAACGCCAGTGTCTGAAGAAAGGAGCATATAGTTAAAAGTAGCCCCCAATACTCCTTTACTTGGCCCAAACTTAGAGTACGAGAAAGAGCATGTGGTTTTAAACGTACGACCTGCACAGTGATTTCTTACGTGAGAACCACCACACAACACCAAGGGTACAACAAAAGAAAATCTTCACGTAGTAGTTCAGGCCCTCAAACCAGTCTACCCACCTTCTTCACATAACAAGTTCCTGGAGGTGGGGGTGGGTGGAGGAAATCTGCGATTTATTTGTTTTTGATACTAAACCCCTCTAACCTTAATTCACATTCGCATATGAACTAAGTTTGTTTGTTGGAACAAAAGATATAATGGCAAACCTGTGTTGCTACAAGGGGCGGGGTCAGAAGGCTTAGTACAGGGCAGGGCTCTTCAATTCTTGGGAAGCCGGTAAGTTAAATGTATGTTGCGATCTTATAGTAATCAGTTAAATTTGACCTAACACTTTCTAGGTGCCAGGACCTCACTTTATCACTTTATCCCCCCAACGACTCTCTGGGGTTGTCTTCCTTCACGAATGAGGAAACTCAGGGAGGTGAAATAGCTTGCCCAAGGTCAAAGAGCTGCCTCTTTATACAGAGAGATGGTCATCAGTGTCAAAACAATAAAAACTACCTTTCATGGAAATCTGTTATGTTGCATCACAGAATTCAAAAAGCATTTTTCATGCCTATCCTTACATGAGATCTAGCACAGTGCCACAGCAGGCAGAACAGAGATGATTGTCCCCAATGTGACAGCTGAAGAAGCTGAGGTTCTGGTGCATAAGGGGTCCAGCCCACTGAGCAGAGAACTAATAAAAAATGGCAGGGTCTAGACTCAGACTCAGACACAGTTTTCTTTCTACTCTTAGGTCCTTTCCTTCTGGTCACAGTTGCCACACACCTTCTAGTAAAAAAAAAAAAAAAAAATCCTTTATGTTAAAAGGAGCAGAAGCATAATCCAATCACATAATGTTATTAATACTGTAGGTTTTGAAAGTCAGTGAGGGAGAAAATTTGTGTTTTTAGAGAACCAAATTGATCAAAGTCCTCATATTTAGCAGAACTTGCCAGGCCCATTAAAAACATACAGGGACAATAGGCTTGAACACTTGACCATACTCAAAACAAGGACTACTTGGGGAAAAGACCCAGTTCACACGTAAAAACGACGGCCAGTTCTTGATGTTATTAGAGGAGCATATTAACTATGAAAGGGTCCCGTCCAGCTGGCTCAGGGGCTCGAGCAGAGTTGCCCTGGAAGACATGTCCACAGCCTGTTCCCACCCTGAATCATCAGCCCACAGGCTCCACTTCAGCCAACCTAAGACACAGGTAGGTAAGTGAGAATTAAAAATAAACTTAAAATTCAAATCCAAAATTATTTAAAAGAAAACACATTTAAACCCATGACACGGTTGTAAGTGATGTTGGTCTGTGTACACTTATCTATTTCAGAAGCACAATAATATTGTATGAATATTTTTCCCACTTATGAAGATATTTATAGCATCTCAGAGGACCTAAACTACTAGGCCAGAACCATATTTGTGATGGGCCCTCAAGTCTAGGTTTGTAGTCCAGCAGAGATGGGCAGAAAAGTCGTAGCTGCCCAGGACATGGGGAGACGGAATGGATAGGTTAGTTATTTAATCATGTAGCTTGGCCAGAAGGCAGGACAAGGGGTGTGGAGGTACAGGCATGAGGAGCCAGGAGCCTGAGCAATGCGACAAGATGACTTAACAGTGGACATGCTGACATGACAAAGACACAAATGCCTGGCCAGAACGTGAGGACTCAACGTTAAAAGGTTTCGGTGGAAAGACAGAAAACAGCCATGCTTAGATAAGCAACTGTTACTTAATAAAATATTATATACAATATAACTCAGAACAGTGTAAATAGAACAGAGGTTATAGAGATAAACATGGGTTTAAAATTCCAGTTCAGCCCCTCACTAGCTATGTGACCTTGGGAACGTTACTTAAAATTTCAGTCTATTTCCTCATCTGCAGGAACAATAGGCCTGTTGTAACTTGGACACAGTAAAGCAGATGACATGCAGGGCACATGGTACATGCTCTGGGAATGGCAGTTGGGGTCGTGTTTTGCTTTTACATTTTGCTTCCAATCTTTAAGAAGTGCTTAATTAGTTCATGGTTATACTGAAAATTAAAGAGCACGTTTTCTACAAGGAACCTTCCTTAGATTCTTAGTTCATTTACTCTTTTAAAGAGATCTGGAGCTCTCTTGACAGAGTGCCACCTCCCCAACTCCAGAATCACTGCCCGACCTTCAGGGACCCCGGCCGCACATCTGCCGCTGCAGCCGTGTGACTCCAGCGTAAGGACGCTTTAGGAACATTTCCGTGGAGGCTGCTCTCAGACATCGCCCAAGCAAACCCAGCAAACAGAACAGCGGCTGCTCCGGCGGCAAAGGGCGCTGTCAACGGGTGGTCCCAGGGCAATCCTGGCTAAGGTCGTGGAATTAATTTCCTCTCCCTCCCCACTGCCTTGCTAAAACGCTTCATTCTTTCTTTCCTTTCCATCCCATACCATGCAGCCTCCTACATTTACATTTTCACTTCGTTTAATTATCTCTAGATAACCACTAAAATTCTAATCGATCCCATTATTTCCACGGATAATCAAACGCAAACGTGTTCCAAATAAGATAAAAAGAGTCAAACTTCGGGGATGTGGGGGTGGGGGTTCAAAAAGTGAAAGAAAAAAAGGTGAAACACATCAGAAGCTGGGGGTCAAAGGAGAGGCAGAGGGGAGGAAGCGTAGAGAGAACAGGCTGAAAGGGCCTCGTCCCGGCTGGGACACACCTGCGCCACACTCGTCCTGGCTGGGACACACCTGCGCACTCACCCCTAACGGCGGGAGTCCTTCCACGACGTTCTTCTTTCCGGACAGGAGGTCTGACACCGGCCTCTTCTTCAGGGAGTCCCTGCGCGCTCGGTACCGCCCGGACGTGGTGAGGTCGGACTCGGACATGGAGGGAGTCAGCAGCCCGTCCCTCCTGGGCCGCTGGGCCTCCGCAAGCATGCGCACGGGGCTGCCCTCCCTCGCCCGGCGCTCAGCCTCTGTGACGTGGCACTTGGGCTCGAGAATGTGCAGAGGACCCGCGACCGGTGTGACCGAGGCACAGGAGTAGCCAGATGGCGGCTCTTGGGAGTAACTCCCCCGGGACTCAGGTGCCCGCAGGGAGAGCGCAGCCCGTGCTTTGTTTTCCTCCTCAAAATCCTCCTCCTCCTCCTCACTGCTGTGTATCAGCATGGTGGCGTCAGAAAGGGATTTGTGGTGGCCGTATCTCAGGCCCTCCTGCTCGTCCGGCTCTCCTCGCTTTGTTCTTTCGATGAAAACATTTGGCTGCGAGCCTGCGCTGATAGCCCGCGGCGCCACGTCCGCGGCCGAGGCCGACATGGTCCTCTCCTTCAGCCTCAGGCCCTCGAAGCTGTGCGTCAGCCCAGCCACCTCGATGCTGTTCCGCTTCTGCAGGTGGGCGTGCCGGGCCGCGGTCAGCGGCTCGCTGACCTCCTGGAGAGAGTGCGCCACCGGCAAGCTGTCTTCTTGGAAGGTCTGGACCGAGTGGTGGACCCGCCTGGTGATGAGATCCGGGTTGCTGCTGCTGATGTAGAGGTGGCGGGACAGGTCCGGGGTGCTGTTGGCCGGCCTCGGGGGCGGGTAAGGCGGGGGCGGGCGGTACACCTGCGTCCTCATGATGTTGGGGGCCGGGTACTCCTGGGCCTGGAGCTGCACGTTGGTCAGCTCGGGCACGCTGACGGCGCCCACCACGGGCCGCCTCTCCGCGGGGTAGGGGTATGGAGACTGGCTGTGGAAGCTGTAGTTCAGATTGAACGGGTAGTGGGCCGACTGGGGCGAGGAGAGGTGGGCGTGCTCCCGAATTTCGGGCTGGCTGTAGACCAGCGCGTCGGGCCGGCTGTAGGCGTACGAGTTGCCGATGCTGAGGTTTCTCAGCGAGCGGCTCTGCCTCTCTGCGTGCGCCATGCCTCTGTTGAGCTGCTTCATCACCGTCTCATAGTCAGGGGTTGGGCGGTAAGACGGGGGTATCAGGGCGCTGTGCCGGTGGGATGGGACGTAGTCGGTTCTCATGACGTCACTCCCAGTGATGCTCGGGTTGGAGGACATGGGCGAGGGCTGCAAGCAGGGCTGAGGGTTGTTCAAGGAGCTAGTGCTGTGTGCGCTGTAGACACTGCCGTTCCGGACCCGGCCGCTGAGCTCGATCTGCGCTCGGTCCAAACTTGTCTGAGAGTGACAATAGCACCCGTTCTGGTTGGTCACAAAGAGGTTATCTGGGGGACATTTAAAATATATTTTTAAATGAGATTTCTTAAACCTATTAAATTACTCCAGACAAATATTGAGATAGGTCCTGAATGTTGATGGCATTTTCAATGCAGCTTATAAAAATCCAGGCTGAAGTGGCCTGGCTTTTTACCCACATAGCTAAGTGACCTGGGTATGTCACTTCCTGGGGCCCCGGCTTCCTCATTTATAGGACCGCGACTGGCTCTGCCTCCTCTAAGGGTGGTATGCAGGGCCTGGCACCTGATAAAGATTAGCCAAATCTAAGCCCAATATTAAGAGCACGATTGTGTCATAAAACATTGTTTTTCTGAAAGTCAGTGAGATGTGTTTTACCAGAGACTTTCTGGAACGCTGGGCAGATGCAGGCAGAGATACCACTGGAGGCATGGGGCCACTGACTGCTTTCTCTCCCTGGTGGGGGCGTAGCCCGCTGATGCTGAGCTAGTTCAAGTACCAGCTGTCTGTAATTCCTTAAGTGGAATTGTAGGCTATTTGTATAAATTCTTCCAGGATGAGCATAAAAGGGCAATAGTTGATCAGGGCCTGAGCCTCTCCCAGTCCAACAGTGTCACCAGAAGCCGTGCATCTCACTAGGGGCCAGAAGACAAGTGATCGCCAAAGCAAATGCTCCAGTCTGGTGTGTGGACTTCATTATGGTGGCACATAGCCACGAAGAAACGGGATGCAAACGCAGCATCGTATTCGTCCTGCAGATGCACACCGCTTCCTTACCCCCACGCTTTTCCGGTATCTGGACCACACATCATCTGAGTCTCTGCAGTCACCCTTTTCTCACGGCCAGCACAGTCTGTCTGGACCAGCACAAGCCCCACCCACCTGATCCCCCTGCCTCCAGGCACCTCTGTGTGCCCCGTGAACCATCCGTTTGTGTGCCTGTATGTGTGAAAACTGTGCTAAGAAGGGATGTGGAGGGGGATGACTGAAATCTGGGCAAATAAAAGGGGAAAGGTAGGTACAAAATCACCGTAATTCAAGGAAGTGCTACAATTTACAGGGATACATATTGCAGAAGTCCAGAGAAGGGAAGGGTCACTTCCAGCTTGGACCTGTTGACAGGCAGGGAAGAGAAGCTCAAAAACCACCCACTGGCGTTACAGGTGGGTGGGGCAGGCTGGCCCAGCTTTCGTCAGTAGCCAGGTCTACCTCCAAGTGCACGCGGGATGACGCCTCCTTACCTCTGGAGATCATGTGACTAGTAATGGTCAAGGGAACGTGAGCAGAGGGTTGACAGCCAGTTTCTATGCTCCCTTCCCCCTGCGGCCCTGATCAACAACATTCCCGGAAGAGGTGGCTGCCGCAGCCTGAGTCCCTGAGGAAGGCGGACATGGAGCAGGGTCCTCCTGCCAGCGCACGGTTGACAGGTAACCTGAGCGAGGAGTAACCTTTACCGTGCAAGCCACAGAGATTTAGAACTGTTCGTTCCCACAGTGCAATGCAGCCTATCCTGACGGGACGGAAGCATGAGGGCAGGAGGGTGCATGGGATAAGGGCACTCTGACAGAGCAGCGAGGGCAAAGCCGGAGACCACGCGTAGGGGGCATGCTCAGCCTGACTGCAGCATCGGGTGCCAGAGAGAAGCAAAAACGCAGCGGGAAATAAGATTGCCAAAGTAACACGAGGGAGGATCACAGACAGTGTTGTACACCAGGCAAGGGCATGATCGCCACGGAGATGAGATGAGCCTGGCATCTGTGTGTCAGATGAACCAGGGAGAGTGCAGGTTGAAGATATCAGCTCCTGTGACACAATAACTAGTGAGCAGTTAAAAAAAAAAAAAACTGGAATGAATCAGTAGCAGAGGAACAGGGAGAGGGAATATGGAAGAGATATTTTATGAAGTTAGAGGCAATAGGATTTGCAACTGACTGGATGTTGAAGGCAAAACAAAAAAGAAATATTATATTCATTTTGGAATCCAAGTAACTAGGAGATTGACTTCATAAAAAAAGATGAAGAAACGTGAAAAGGGACAGGCATGTAGAGTATAGAGCTCAAATTTAATGTTTCAGTCAATGTTGGGCAAGCTGTAATAGCTGCTACTATTTACCGTGTGTCTACTATAAGCCAGGCCCCCCACTGGGGGCTTTACGTGCTGTAGCTCCCTTCGCTGTCACGGCCACGTATCAGACAGATGGAAGTGTGGGGCTGGAGCACAGGAGTGATGAAGGGGTGAGAAACACAGATCCGACAGCTATCACTGCTGAAGTCTGAAATGCGGGTGAGCCCGCGGTGGAAGCCTGTAAGGGGAGGGAAGGCAGCCAGGGACAGACCTGCAGGGCAGCGAACATCCCGCAAGGTGCAGGAGGAAGAGGGAGAACCCAGCACACCGAGAAGAGATTACTCAAGAAGGAAAGGATGCCGGAATCTGATGAGGAGGATGTGTGGGGCGCCGGGGCCGCCGGAAAGGGCAGCTGGAACAGAGCAGCAAAGGCGGAAGGAGTGAACGGATAACCAGACAGAGGCAGCATGCAGGCGCTGCTCTCGGAAGTGAGGTAACAGGAGTGGGGGTGACCGGGGGGGGGGGGGACTCAAACTGTAGTTGGAAGAGAGAGGAGAGGAAAATGTACTAGGCTGTTTGTAGACCCAGGAAAGAGGACGAGTAGGAAGGAAGCACCAGCAATGCAGAGAGGAGCAGGAGGAGCTGGGGTCGCAAAACCAGACAAGGGCAGGGCAAGGGGGAGAGGACAGTGAAGACAGTAAAAAACACCCCAACGTGGACACTCTCGGAATCCAACCCCAAATCACTGCTCCCCTCTACTGCCCACCTCGCTGCATGGAATGCTCATCTTTACCATAAGGCCTGGCACAACCAACACAATCACAAGCCACCTTCTGGTCCCTCCACACGTCATTTCCTACCGGTGCCCTATGTGAGCCACTGGACTACTTTACTCTCCAAACACCCTCGTACCCATTCTGTGCTATGGCATTCGCTGTCCCCCCAAAACGAGAGCAACCTCAACCTGGCACCCGCCCCTCTCCCTACCTGTTGATACCCACCCATCTCCTGAGGTCCAGAAAGCCCTTCTCAATCTCCCCAGCGCGCTGAGAGTCATTCTTCCGCTGATCGGCACGGCAATCGCCTGCTCTACCTCATCAAAACCATCACGTTCTCTTGTGTGTTTGTTGTTATTTGTGTACTAGATTCTAAGCCTCTTAAGGTATAGAACGACGTCTCTGCGCCAGTCTCCTTGGCCTTTAGAGCAGAGCCTTGTAGGCAGAGTAGAGAGTTAATGTCGGTTGAATGGATGCTTGAGATTCGGCTTTGGAAGCGCTGTCTTAAATACAGCTCCCTGTACTAATCAAGTGAAAATTAAAATAAAAATACTTAAACCTTTACAATGGGAACGTCTCAGGTGAGCAAAAAACAAAATGAACCTGGGACATCCTGTACCGGTAAACAAAGAAACACTCAAGGATTAATGGGGGAATATTTACAGGACTTAACGGGAACCAGCTTGAAGAAGTGCCAATGGGCCAAATAATGCAGATGATCCGACAATTCCTCTTCTAGGTATTTACCCCTAACTATGAAAACACTATTTCACAAAGATATATGCACCTCTATGTTCCCTGCAGCATTATTTGTAGTACACAAGAGGAGACAACCGAAGTGTCTGTCCATCAACAAATGAGTCAGATGTTACACACACACACACGCTGGAACACTACTCAGCCATTAAAAAGATGAAATATTGCCATTCGTTGCAACATGGATGGATCTTGAAGACATTATGCTAAGTGAAATAAGCATGTCAGAAAAGGACAAAAACTGTATGATTTCACTCATACGTGGAATATAAAACAAAACAGCAACAAATGAACTAAAAAAACACAACTCATAGATGCAGACAACAGAATAGCAATTACCAGAGGGGAGGGGAGGGGAGGGGAAGGCAAAACAGGCAAAGTGGGTCAAATACATGGTAAGGAGAGGAAGCTGCCGGGTCCGGGGGACGGGCACACAGCAGAGCACACAGATATCGAATTACAATGTTGTGCACCTGCTATTTCCATGATGTTATGAACCAATGTTACCTTAATAAACTTAATTTTTTTAAAATTTAATACAGTATACCCCGTTGCCCATGGTATTTTGCTTTCTGCAGTTTAATTTACCTGTGGTCAACCATGGCCCAAAAATATTAAACGGAAAAGTGATATTTTGAGAAGAGAGAGAGCACATTCATATAACTGTTATCATAGCATATTGTTACCACGGTTCTATTTTATTCTTAGGTATCACTGTCAATCTCCTGCTGTGCATAGTTTATAAATTAAACTGTATCGTAGGTACGTACGCATAGGAAAAAAGCACAGTCCACGCAGGGTTCGGTACTGTCCGTGGTGTCAGGCATCCACAGGGGGGGTCTTGAAACTGGGGATCCCCCGTGGATTTGAGTGGACTACGGTACTGCATGTTTTCTACATATGTCCAAGAAATTGCATATAATGGTAGCGTATTCTATGAATCCAGAGTGGCTATAATCGTGACAACAATATAAGATGTAACTGCAGCCAAATATTACTCTGGCTTCAAGATCTCCAAATCTCCGTAATTTATTCAAACTGTATTAACTGTGTAAGGCATTTGAGCAATAGTGTACCTTACCTTGGGAAGAGGTGTATGGTTCTGTATAATGTCCATTATAATGCAGCTGGGGTGGGGGAGGCATCACATAGGGTTGGGGTTTAGGCTGAGAAATGGAAAGTTCAAAACAGGGTTATGACTATGTGATATATATAAAATAATTTTCTGCTGGCTTAAAAAGCTTCTAAAGGAGTCAAATATATTTTACATGAAATGTAAACATGAAGACCCTATAGCTCTTAATATATCTGTCATTTTCAATGTTTCTCAAAATGGCAAGGTAAAGCCCTATGCGCTGATATCAGACATCGGAAAACACAAGAAAACAAGCTGCATCCACAAGGAGCAAGAAGGAATAGACACAAATTTCCTGAATTCTTATATAAACATCTGAACATAAGAAGCTTATATGTAATATAACTAATCTTATTAGGCAAAATTGTCTAGTATTTTAAATATCCACTAAATTCTGATTATTCTTGGCTAATTCTCAAAATTTTTAATGTTAGGTTGGACCTAATATTTAAATATGTGTAATATAATAAATGCTATATGTAATATAAATATTGGGCTTAACCTATGGAGAAAAAAAAATCACCATTTCTTTGCTCAAAAGCGACACACTTGTGGTTCAAAAATCCAATATTGACATACTTGTGGTTCAAACTTAAACACTACCGAAAGCCAATTTTATTAACGAAGATGACTTCACTAAAAGAAACACGGCGATCATAGTTTTCCTTCTTTCTTACCAGTGACATCCTTGAGGAAGGCCTCCTCCTGCTTGGGTTCACTGTGACGGTCTGCGTTTGCCTGTAAAACAAAACATGTCTTTGAGGAGGTAGAGATATATAGACCTGCTCATCATATACACACACTCATACTCTTCCTAATTCTACCAAAATAAATTAAAAGGAAGGCAAAGTGATAAATCCTCTAGAGTAAGAAAGACAAAGGGATCCAACCATAAACTTGAGAAAAGAGAGGAGATTCTCTGTCCCTCCGTTGGGCCTCGGTCCCTTCCTGCTGCCCAGACCCCTCTGGCCACATTCCAAGGTCTCAGCCTCCTCATTGGAGCATCGGGGGGACGGCAGCAGTAAATTCCCCTGGTCCAGCCAGGAAAAAAACTCCTGGAGTGACCATAAGCAGAGGGGAAAAGGGCAAGGCGAGATGAGATCGCCCGCAAACTCATCCCAGGGGAAGCAAGATTCAGTGCAAGCGCGTCTCTCCCGGGGGCCTGGGTCAGCACTGGCCACCTCCACTAACGGTCCCGAGGGGTGGCCATCACCTGCCAGCCCTAAAGCCCACAGCAATGGGAACCACCTTTAATTAAAAGCCTGTTAACCACAGCCTACAAACATAACAAAGAGATAAATTTTAACTTTGGTAACTCAAGAATCTATAAGTTAGGGAAAGCAAAAAAGAAAATTTGGTTCAGTGGGCCTATGGTAAACTCATTAATTTACTTTTCTTTCAAGAAACTTCTGATTGGTTTTAAATGTACTTTTTAAAAGGAAATGAGGATATTCAGAAATGCCACTGACATTTATCAGATGAAAGGAGATTTTAAACTATTCACAACAAGTTCCACCTTTCAATAAAATCTGGTCAATAAGGAACAAACAGAAAAGTCCATTTGTAATTCTATCATTTTTAAACAGAGGCAGGCATTTTTTTGTCCTTGTGTGTGGTCGGTTTTATCACAAGTAAGATCTAGGAATCTAAACACAGAGGATTCTTGGCTTTGTTGATGACTTACATAATTTTGTCAAAGCATTTTTAAAAAACCTTTTACCACCTGTCCTTGGCTCATGAGCTTATGTGACACGTAATTACTGATTATAAAAATATTTTATGACCTTTGGTTATAGCGTTCTAAGGACTAATTACTAGAAAATCCATAATCACAAAGTGGACACTCGCTCCATTTAATCAGCAAATTTTCCATATCGAGCTTCATAAACTAACTTTATTCTTAGCATTCTATCATAAACTAACATTATTCTTAGCATTCTATCAACTGGTCTTATATTCAAACCCTGAATATTAGCCTATTTTTACAAGATTTTTGAGATTAAAAGAAAATTAATGCTTATTAAGAACAACGCCACGTGACTACAATGCTTTTACGAGTTGACTTTTTTTTAATTAAATGCTTTCTTTAATAATCTCCATTCGATATCACTGGACTGTATTAAGGTTGTTGATGAATAGATGTCTCTTTTCCAAAGGATGCTCCATTTTACCAGTATTATGTTACTCAACAATAAAATGGATGTTTATGAGACTGCAAAAATACCTGTATCAACTGGTAAAATATTATACATACTGGTAAAGGAGTGAAATGAGTCTGGATAGTGTGTCTGTGCTTTTTTTTTTTTTTTAAAGATTCCTAACTACGCATTGATATTTCCTAAAATCACTGTCCAGAATTTGAAGACCCTGCATTTCCTAGCCTTGAAATTTGTTGTCTTTGTTCATTCTCCATTGTCAGGGCCAGGTTTAGGCAAACTGGTCCTTTGAAGTTTATATTTGTTCCAGAGACTCACTAAGTGGACTGAACTTTTAAAGTACTATAAATTCAAAATTCAGAAGTGGAGAGAAAGGATTGCTGATAAAATCCTCCAACGTGTCCGGAGTTGCCCGGCCTGCGGCAAAAATAAACGTGTGTGTTACACACAGAATCCAAGGATGCAGAGCTTAGGGCACAGGCAGCCACTCCCACACACGCTATCTATTTCGCCACCCTTGCTGGCAGCACCCGGTACGGCGGCGACGCTGGCCACTGCGGAGGATGCTTCTGCTAAACACAAACACACAAGTACATCTTCCTCCTGCCAAACTGGTATTGTCGGCCTCGTCATCAGTTCTGATATTCTAACCCCCTCTCTCTGCTTGCTGATATTCTTGTAAAGGGAATTTACTGTGAGGTCAGCTCTCCTCCACTTAGTCCACAAGAGGAAATGGTGTGCAACTCAGTTGTGTTTTCTGGACTTTTGGGTAGTTACTATGCCAATGGGTGCTGCTAAAAAATGAGACACGTGAACAATTTGAAAAAATCATGGGACTGTGTGAACTGGAGAAAACAAAATAAGAAAAGGCTGCAAGCTTGAGTAAAATAAATAAGAAATGCTTTTTGAAACGGCGCCAAAGACCGTACGTGATTAGCTTGCGGAATCTAAACACCAAGCCCGTGAGGGAGGCTGGTTACTACCCTGATTTTACAGATGAGGGAACTGATACTTAGATTAAGTAAATTACTCCTGGTCACATGGGCAGTAAGTAGCAAAACCGGCATTTGAACCAGGCAGGTCTGTCAACCTCCTGAGCACAGGTCCCTAACGATCCATTATCTGACCCCTCTCCTCAACCCCAACTGATCTGCAAGCTCCATGGAGGCAAGAGGATGGACACACCAGGGAACCGCTGAAATCCAACCTCCCCTCCAGGGAAAGTCTGCTGAAATTTCTGTCACTTGGCTGTGCAGGTTGGGAGATGCCATTCTGCCCACTCTTCCCCTCCACAGAGAAGAGAGAAAGCCTCCTACACCAAGAACCCTCTCAAGACTCCTTTTGTCTCCCAGGCTTTTCCTCACATAAATTCGAGAGGTTGATTACAGCATGACCAGCTCTGGGGGTTGGGGTGGGGGATAGGGGGCTGGAAGAAGACGTTGACCTAAGAAACTGACATTCTCATTTAATTCCGCATCCAACCCTAAAAGAATGTTAAGTAAGGTCCTATTATCCCCTGTTTTATAAATTAAAAAGCAAAAAGAAATTGTTGTTATCCAACATTTTTAAGGCCCAAGTAAAATAAGATGATTCTGTTACCTAAAGTTCCTTGTTTAAAAGTGGAGAGAGGAGGCAAGTCTGATGATGGATCATGCCATTCTATGAATTCTAAAATGCAGTAATCTGCGTCAAGGTCAGATGAATCTCAGAAGGCCAACTCAAACGCCATTACATTATATGTCAAGATCGAGGGCTGGGGAAGGGGACACTCAAGGAGTGAAGTCAGAATCCACCTCCTGTGCTACCAGCGGCCCCAGCCGGAACCAGACGCCTACTTCCAGGCCTGCTACAGGCTCACCACACTGGAGTTTACTCATTTGGACCATGAGGCAAATCTACCAACACTTCAGAATCATTAAAATATTAAATATGACTAAACAGTAGAGGTTGGGAGCCTTAAAAGACCCTATCATTTACCACAAACAGACAATAATTTCTTTTCCCTCTAATTTTACAACTATCAGGTGGTTTTGCCAAAAAAAAAAAAAAACAAAAACAAAAACTTTTTAAAAAAGGTAATACCACCAACCAATATGGAAGCCTAACAGAAAGGGATTATATTTTATGATTTATTCAAAATGACTGATTCTCTCTTATTTTCCAGAAAAAGAATGAACTGAGGTAATCATGGCTCAATATTATCAATACTCTTAAAACTTATGAAAGGTTTTATACTTATGAAAAGGCTGTGGTCTAACAGACCACATATCTACTGTTTGAATCTCAGAACACACTTGTGCACAAAAATAATGTCACACATGGTTGGGGTAACCAGGCCAGCCCAGAGGAGACTGGAAAGCAACTATCCTAGACTAGCGGCACCTCCGAACCTAGCCACCAGGGGGAGCACTTTCACACACAGATGTACCCAGAACTCCAAGCCATTGAGCAGAGGCTCCCTACGCCCACCAGAAAGCAGGGTTGGTCCTCCCTATCAGCTAGTGCTTTCCAAATCCCATCACCAGACCAGCAGTAGGACTCAGATAAAAACATGGTTGGAAGGGACGCTAAGCCAGACACCTGGGGACGACTGTGAATGAGAGAGCCTGCCGGCATGGAGCTCCGTGGGATGAGACAGACTAGTCACACCCACATCAAGACAGCAGACAGGAACACTCTAGCAGTTTAGCACAGTGGCTAAGAGCACAGGCTCTAGTCTCACTGCTCCCAATTGCTAGTCGTATGGCAGGGGTATGACACGTCACTTCTCTAAGTCTCCAAACTTTCATCTATACAAGGGCAACGATAATTGTATCAAACAGGGTTACTGTAAAGATTGAAGGAGATAAAAGCGTTCAGCAAAATGCTTGACACACGTAAGGCAATTACTGAATTAGGATCGTTATGAAAATAGAAGGGAAACAACAGGACTTTGAGAATAGTACTGAGGACTAAGCAAACTAGAAGCACGGTGGACTCTGGGGTGGCTGCATTTAACCTGGATCTTGAAGAATGACTGAGTCTGCCAGAGAAGAGGACGAAGGACATTCTAGCCAAGGCGTAGGGCTGCGAGAGGCATCAGCGTTGTGACGACTGATGGGTTCTGGGAGCCCGGATCGAGGGTCAGCTGGGCAGACGAGCCCAGAGGACCCCAGGAGTCTGCACTTAACCCCAGAGCTGAGGAAGGGTGTTTGGGAGGAACAGGCTCGAGTTTGGTCCTGACCTCTAACTTTGAGAGCAGTGTTACATCTTTTACTCATCCATACAGAAGACAGGCTGGAGCCAGGTCAGATGGGGCAGGTGAGGCCAGATGGGAGGCAACTGCAATGAGCCAGAGGACAATTTAGATAAAAGGGGATGGAGCGAAACCAGGTCTCAGTTAGGACGTCACTCCACTGGGAAGCCGTCCCTAACTCAGGGGTTCTGGGCTAGGTACCCTTCTCCTGAGGGCTCCTACTGTACCACAGACATGCCAGGTCAGAGCTCCTCACGCTTGTTTCTGTAGACTCATTCAACAAATTCATCACGGCAAATGTGGGCCAGGCCCTTGCTCAGCACTGGGAATGCAGGGCTTAAGACAGGGAGAATGCCTGTCCGCCACATGGCAGGGAGGCTTACCTGCGGGGAGGGGATGCGGACAGTAAACAAGTAAACAAACAAGCATATAAATTCAAGTGGTGCTGAGTGCTATGAAGAATAAAACAGAGTAAGGAAAGAGAGACAGGCAGCAGCCTCTTAAAGAGGGCACCTCTGATGAGACACTGATGAGATGAGGGAGCGAGGCACATGAGGACATGGGAGAGGAGCATTTCAGACAGAAGCAGGGGTAGGGATAGCATCCCCAATGGTGAAACACGCACACAGACCAGAAAGGATGCTAGTGTGGCTGGAACAGGGTGAGTGAGTAGGCGGCTAAAGCAAACAAGGATGGAACCAGGCAAGGACCAGATGGCATACGGCCTGGTACTTTCAAATATAATGGGACGAATGCCAGTGCAGGGTTTTAAGAAGAGTGATAGGATTTGACTCGTGTCAAACTAAGATCATTCTGGCTGACTCGTGGAAAGTAAGCTACGGGCAGGACAGGCACAGAAGGGCAAGGGTCAGAAGGCTACTGCAGTGTTCCAGATGACAGTCTATGGTGACTGGGTGAAAATGGTCAGCTGCCACTTGTTGAAATAGGAAAGAAGGAAGAAAGCAGGTCTGGGGGCCGGAAGAGAAAGAACAAATCAAGAGTTTGGCTTTAGACGTATTGAATTAAGGCTGCCTCTTAGGTACCCAAGTGGAGATGTCAAGCAGGCAGTGGGATATGTGAGTCAAGTGCTCAGGGAGAAGATGCAGCGAGAAAAGCAGATGCACGCTCAGCAGATGCTACTTTTAAGCCTGAGGCAAGGTGAACGCCCTAGAGAACGAGAATAGATAGGGAAGAGGTCTGATGACGAAACCAGCAAAGGAGACTGGGAAGAAGCAGCACAGAAAGAGAAAAAGCAGGAGAGGGTGAGGCCCCGACACCCAAGAAAGAGCAGGGTGCGGGAAGGAAGGGCGGTCAGAGGTTGGGTGCTGCTGGGCAGTCAAGGGGAAGCATCTTGAAATGACCACTGGATAAAGGTCACTGTCACGGTGAGAAGCGGTGTCAGTGATAGGGCAGCTTAGGAGAAACACGGTGGAAGGAAGGAGAGAAAGCAAGTAGATACGACTCTTTCGAAGGAATCTGCTGTAACAGAGAGCAGAGATATGGTGCTATGGCTAGAGGACATGAGGAATAAAGGAAGTGTTTTAAGACATACTACGGCATGTTTGTGTGCTGACGGGAACGACGCGGCAGAGGCTACGAAAAATGTACGTTAGGAAGAAGGGGCATAAATTCTTCAAGTGGCTTGAAAAGCAATCATCTTCAATTACTCAAAATGCTGATAAAAAATTACAGGATATTCCTAAATAACGCTCGAGAATTAGAATGATTCTAGTAAACAGCCGAAAGAGATCTTAAAGGCGTATCTATAGTTATTAAAAGTTGGTTGAAAGCTAAAATGAAAATGCTTGAGAAATATTTTAATACACAAAAGCAAAAGGTTTATTATAAAAATGTCATGAAAATGATATCATTTTCATAAAATTTACCATTCTCATGGCATAAGACAGCTCAAGACGAAAATTTCTAAACTCATTATTTCCTACAATTTCCACTAATAGGATATACTCACAGGCTGCACTGATTTAGTCTGTAAAATTTGTGCCGTGCAACGCAGAGCCTCCATACATATTTTGCTGTTTCCATGTCTTCCTAGCAAACAAAATATGCACAAAATAAATGAAAGCACATTTACAACTGGATACAGAGTTTATGTGAGGACAAGACATGATTGGGTGACACAGTATGTCAAGTCACTTTTAACACACTGTCACTCCTTCATTTTCAAATAATGTGCCTATCATAGGAATGCTATAATTATGATTTTAATTATTAGAACAAAAAAACTAACTGTGATTCTTATATTAAACAATTTCAAAATGACTTAGAAATTTAAAAATTATGAGAATATCAGCTTTTAGTTTGACAAATAGATTCTCAAAGACATTTTTAAACCAAATGTTTGACTCGTTGACTTAATATTGCCTTTGTCAAGAGAGCAAAAACAAATAACTATGAAATAACATTTCTACACAGCCATTCACTTATCAAGGGGAATTAAAATATTAGTGCTTATTTTCTCCCTTACTTAGTCCCTTAAATTTAATTTAAAGATTATCATGACCAGAGACTATTTATTCAAGGACTCGTTCATTCAACAATAATATTTACTGAGCAACTACTTTTGCCAAGTGCTATCATGCAAAATGTCATAAAATTTTACATTTTATAAAACTGTGAAACATTATAATTTTAATGCCACCCCCGCAAACACGCACACGCAAATACTAACTTAACTTTAAGGAAAAACATTCCGTGAGGATTCCAACATTTACTCACAGTCTGAAACTGGATGGTCTCCTCTTTATTTGCCAGCTCTAATGCAAAAAAGGACTTATTGTGGGACATGTTAGCGATGTCGTGCCACCTAAAGGACAACAAACAGAAACGGCAAAGTGTGTGCTCACGTTCACACTAGCAGATAGGAGTTTTCCTCCTTGAGCTTGATGCATATGTTAATATTTGTTAATTATTTCTTAAAGAAAATAGTTGTTTTAATCGGCTAGTGTGCACCTTCTAATTGATGACAACACCAAGTTGCACAAAGTAAATGTTTACTAAATGAAGACGAAGAGTATTTCAGAATGTAAAATCTATTTGTCCTCATTTGCCAGATTAGCACGATCAAAATTTCCTATTTTAGCTGGATGCCAAAGCCTCCTTCCTTCATTCAACAAACATCTTAAAGGGCACCCATTTCCACCACGCCAGAAATTGTGTTAGGTCCTAGAAATGCGTGGCACAGCGGGTATGCCCAGGCTTCCCACTATCCTCTCGGAACTGCTGAGACAGATTTTGACAAAACTGACATAATGTTTTACTACTTTATAAAAACAACATAAATTTTTAATTTTTCATCAAGATAAAATCAAAATAGGTAGTATCTCGGTAAGCCTGCAAATATTTCTATTAAATGACACTTCAGATTTTCTAGATTATGAATTTTAAGGTATGAAAAGAGATTGAACGACATGGTTCGATTTACTATCTTTAAGATACTGGAACAAAGAATACTGACAAGGAAATTTATATCACCTGCAATATCACTGCTCAGCCACTCTTAGCACACGGCTTTATATCCTTCCTACCTGTCTTATACAGACATTTTACGATTTCCACAAATGAATACTATCATTTTCTTTTAATCAGAAGAAAAAAAAATCACCATTACAAAACGTAACTGCAATGTACTTAGATGTTCATATTTTAGGAATTTTGGTACATTAACTAGAGTCAGAGAGAGCCCTACATTTTCCACAAGAAATAGCCCTAGAAACCAAAGCTGAAATGGAAAATTCACATCCAAGGAATGGCCTCCATATGGTAAGAAAAGAGGCACATATTTTTAAGTATTTCTTAAGTTGACCATCATTATAAAGCACTATTGTCTGCACATCTGGTTTTGAAGAAGGTCACTTACAAAAGAACTGCTATAGTCCGGTGGTTTTTTATTCTAGGAAGGGCAGAGTTCCATTTCCTATTGAGACCTTGGGAGAGACTTATGAACAATATAACTGATACAGGGACTAAAAAATATCACCACACAGAAAGATGTAAGAAAAATACCGAAATATCACAGGAGGCCTTCCATTCTTGTGTTTCACAAAGATACCTTCAAGACATGCTCCAATGGATATGTCGCTGCCTTGGCTATCCTAAAAGGAGGAAAAAAAAAAAAAAACACTCAGGCAGCAGAAATACGAAAACTACAACAACTATACCTCGTGCCCTAAACTTGTCTCCCAGATATAAAATGTTCAGAAGACCTAGAGTAGAGTAACTATTCTGAAGGAAAAAAGCCTGAAAGTTATAAATGTTATCATCTTGAAAATATATACGTGGGAAGAGATGGACCCGTAAGGCAGCGGTCCCCAACTTTTTTGGCACCAGGGACCGGTGCTCCTATGAGACTCTAACGCCTGATGATCTGCGGTGCAGCTGAGGCGGTGATGCTAGCGCTGGGGAGCGGCTGCAATTACAGATGAAGCTTCGCTTGTTGGTCAGCCGCTTACCTCCTGCTGTGTGGCCCGGTTCCTAACAGGCTATGGACCGGTATCAGTCCACCAGCCCGGGGGTTGGGGACCCCTGCCTTAAGGAAAGCTCTTTCAGGAGCATTCAAAGAATAAACCGCAAAACAGGAATGTGTTTTACTACAAAATTTTGGCCACAAGGACCCCAGCTTTTAAATCTCCGGACTTTTGTGTTCAGCCTTGGCACAGCAGGGATCCCTGGGCTTCCCACCGTCCCTCGGAGCTGCTGAGATGGACCATGGAGAGCCCCAGCCGTGGCGTCCTGCGTACTGACCTTCGCAGGGTAGCTCTCTTCTCCGTAGCCATCCATTCTCTCTACCTCCTGCATGTACAGCATCTCGGCATCGGGAGCTGTGAGCCCTCTGCAACCCAAAAGATGTTAGTAAGATTGCTCACGAAACTAAAAATGAAAAAAAAGACAAAGCTTTCCTAAACACTACATATGAATTTGGCACAAAACATTATAAACATTTCAAGTCTCTAAGCATCCGTATTGATTATATCAATCCATCAATATTTACTGAAAACTGACCACATGCAAAAAAGCACTGTGCTGCACACTGAGGGTTAGTTATAAAAGGCCCTATCCCCTGTACTTTAGGCAGGCAAGGGGAATGTGGGGGATAAGACAACCCTCTAAAACGGCTTCAGGAAAAGCGAGGATTCTTTCTCAACCACTGAGTAACTGCTTATTATCCAAAGTATCAGGCGATACCAAGCATCGTGTGCTAAATGCCAAATGGTAGAAGTGCAGGAAATAAGAGTTAGGAGGATAGAAATTCTTTTTAGCTCCAGTGACAGAATTACAAGGATGGGTAGGAAGGTGACGGGGGTAAAGAAGGTGCCCAACTGCGTGGCAACTTGCCTCTCCAGCCTCACCTTCTGCCGCGCCTCATACCCACAAGGCACCCCGCACTGCGGCCATCCCGAACTCTGCGTTTCTCTGAGTACACCATTTCCCCCCATGCCTTCAGGCCTGTGCGCACACTAATCCCGCTATCTGGTATACCCATCACTCACCTGTGTACCTGGTCAATCCCTAATATCCTCTAAGACTTGGCCTGTGTATCACTCCTTGTCACCTTCTGTGAGACCCCTGAGTCTAAGTCAGATGCCCCTGGTTTGTGCAGACCCGCTGCATCCTTGCACATTATTCCCACTGCTCCCATATTCTATTATTCATATTGTAATTACTGCCACAATGAGATGTCCTGCCTACCCCTTAGACTGCAAGGCAGGAAACACATTCTCCAATGGCAGGGGATCTTTCTGTTTATCTCTGTGCCACAGCATCCAGCACCCTGCCTCATGGAGAATAATAGTAATAAGCTATCTTTTAAGGAGATGCACACATGAATAAATAAAAGTAACAAAAGACAAGGCAATGCATGCCTGAGGAATTAATTGTGCTGGGGGGAAACGGTTCATTTGGGACAGCAGAAGGTAAAGGTGGATAGGCAGGATTTAACCAATTTATAGGAGGCCTTTAACCCAGGGATAATGAACTCGGGCTAGTGAAGAGCAAGAAAAGATTCGTGAGCATTTGAGAAGGAGAGAAGGGAGATAAGAGGAAAGTGATATTTTAGGAAGATTAAGCCTTTGTGAGAGATTGTATGGGTTTGAATGGGGAGAGACTAAAGGCAAAAGGTTATTTTTAATGAGAGGGAATGAACAATAGGTTATAATTAGACAAATCCCACCTCAACCACCTGCAACTTTGGGCAAGTTATTTAGTCTTTTTTGAGCTTGGCTTCCCCAATCTGTAAGGAGATAATAACATTTACCTTAAAGAGTAGTTATAAGAATTTAATGATATATAAAGTGCTTGGAACCATGCGGTATTCGGTTTAGAATAAGACCTAGCATTCTCCAGGAGAGAATTTTTCTTATGGGCAACAAGTACAGATTCATTATCTACCCAGAAGGGTAGGTCAGGGCAATAAACACAGCAGCAGCTCTTGGAACAGCTTCCCCAGGACAGAGACACAGCTTCCTAAGGTGTATGCGGGAGAGAGACAAACCCTTAACTTGCTGCATTAGGGAGACTTAAAAAAAAGTCTCCCTAATCTTCAATCTACCTACACAGGATTAGGTTAGCCAAAACCTTTAAAATATGAGGCAAAGAATTGGTGCCCTTCAATGACTGGCTGCTTTCAACGTTCTCAGTTTCATCATTGATAAAATATGGGTAATAAATGAGTTAATACGGGTAAGTGCGTAGACCAGCACTTGGCACATAGTTAATGCTATGTAAATAAATGTTGGCTGCTCAGAGTAGTAGTAGGAGCCACAGCAGCAGTAGTCACGTTCCAGATTTAATTGTGTCAATGCATATTTCAAATTCACACAGGCATTAGTTCTACGCTATTTCCATTTCTTATTTCTTAGCGTTACCTGTATTTCTGATGCAGTAAGGCCACTTTTTGAGTTGCTTCTTCCAACACTTTTTCATCTTGTAACCACCCCTGAAGAAAACATAGCACAGTAAATACGTAAACAAATCACTCAAATTTTTTAGGAAGAATCACTGCTACTGACTCTTACCAACTCCTGTCACTATCAGGCAAAACTAGGGCTAGTATTAATATGAGGTTGCTTCGCTTCAGTAGGTAGTCATGATTTTTCTAAGCAATTGAGTGGCTTCTGCTCAGGAGCCAAAACACTTGCTCTGCCTTCTCAATTCATCCCTGAGAAAGTTCATCTGAGTTACTTCAGCTGGGTCACGTCCATCAGCTAGTTCGGAGCCCAGCACAATTCCCTGGCTGGCTGTGTAGACACTCAGAAGAAAAGCACGCCATTCCCTTCACTGTTCCAGTGCAGTTTTCCTGTCCATTCCATCAGTAGTGACTTTAAAAAGAGGAAGGCAGTGTCTTTTTGTCATCTGCTTTTTCAATCGTTGACGAGAAGCCAAATTCGCCTCAATAACTTTGTGAGGTTTCGAGCCTTCCGTGAAAAGCAAAATCTCTGCTTGGTTCCCCAGAAACTAGAAATGAATCCCTCTCTTTAGATTCACATCCAAACACAAAACAAATTTCTCTGGCTGCAGCCCAGTGCCTACAGCCCCTTCGGTTTCTGTGGGTTTACAAGGACCAAGAAGAGTACAACAGAAAAAGCATTTACTCTCGAGTTGTTTGTATAAGAGGGAATTGATGTTTTAAAACTATTCTTGTGTAGGAAGTCTACCATGTGAACTTCATTTTGGGGAATATTAAGGGTATGGAAATAAACTGTTAAAGAAAAGTCCAATGTCAAAAGAAGTCTTACCACAGGAAACAAGGCAAATTTCTGAAGAAAGTCCTGGGATTCATACTGATCAAAGTCACCAAAATCAGCTATACAAAATGACAAATGTTCACATGTCAATTATGTTGTACTTGTGTAGCAAAACACGCACAATTATTTTCAATTTGCAGTATATGGATGGCAAGCTTATGATTCAGAAGTCAAATTTGCCTTACAGTCATAAAATATATATTTAAAAAATATCTTTTTAAAAATATTAGGTAGATTCATGTGTCTTGACTTGGAAAAATGCCTATTAATAAAGTGAAAAAACAAGTTACAAAATTAGAACTAAGATGATCTCATTTTTATAATTAAAAAAAACAAACAAAACTACCCAGGAATCATGTATGCTTACTTATGCATAAAAAATTTCAGGAAGACACCAAGCTATTCATAGTAGTGATTATCTCTAGGGAATGGAATTAGATCATTTAAATATGTTACAGCAAGATGTATTTGTTTAGAAAATTTTAGTTGTTAAAAAAAATTGATAGTTCAGCAAAAAGCTTATGAAAAACTAACTCTTAAAGCCAAAGATGACACTTAAGATTCAAAGTACCTTGAAAAGGAATGTGGCTCCATGTGTATCAGACATTTGTTTGTCTAGAAATGATAAATGTCTCCACGCCTGCTAATATCTAAAGGAATTTTATTAATGATTCTTCTGATTAAATTTCAATTCCCACGATTAAATGCCAGTTATCATTTGAATTAACGCCCCTCAGACGTCTTCTCGAAGTATATACATTCATATAAATACATATAGATTAGACATGTAAAAAATGGCATAATTAAACAATTCAAAAATACTTGTGAAATGCAAAATTTTATCTATTATGACTAATGATTCTCTATAATCCGGAATAATTGTTTAAGAAACCAAACAAATGACATAAGCCTAAAGTACGAGTGATCATAACTTCATCAAACCTCATCGGTTGGCTGATCTTTCTTCTAAAATATTAGCTGGCAACAGATTAATTCCTTGAATTAGAGGATAAAAAGCATGTTAAGTGCTGTGTGTGTGTGTGTATTTTTTTCTCTATTTTTGGTCTGTTTCTCTGTTGACATATGTTAACAGAGACATATCCTTAATCTTCTAGAAGTCTCATATCATTGAAGTAATCCAAATTCATTTTTCCCACAAAGAAGCCCTTAGATAACAATATTTCACTAATATATAAACATTACTATAGAAAGTCACTTTAAGAATCCTTTGCTGTTTTCGTTATAATACATTTTAATCTGCTAGATCTATTACATTATCAATTGTCATTATTTACCTTGAACAGCCAAGCCTGCTAGCTGAATTGCTTGTTCTAATGTACAAGGAATGTTCCCTTCCAAGATATCTTTCTTCAGCTGCAGATAATACTGATACCTATAAAAAAAAATAATAAAATAAATAAAAAAGTCAATATCAATATTATTTCCAATTGAGATAATGCATTTTACCATAATTTGGTCAAGGAGCATCAACCAGCCAGATAGCACCTTTATTACCCAAGATGGTTTCGAAGGACTAAGAATGTCTTTCACTGTATCTATACCTGCACACACACGCACACGCGCGCACACACACAGAATAATCAATTTATTGAGTCGCTTATCCATAACTGTAGTTATTTCAAAGCTACAAACATGTAGAAGACAACTGGTCTTATGCCCTGTAAGGCAGTCCCTACATATTGTTCTTGTTAGTTGGAAAAATAGAGAATCAATGGCCAATCTTTACTTTAAAAACTCTGACTAGTAACTTGGTAACATAAGACTTTGCTTACTCTGGTGGCAGTTCCCTAGCCCTGGAAATTAAAGCCAGAGGAAAATGGTTCCTGAGATTTCTCACCAGGCTTATATTGAAATATTTTTGAATGAAGTCTCAAAAAGAATAGCTTCTAAGTTGTTTCCTTAATATTCTTGTAATGTGGGTTTACTTCATTTTACACTTTCAATATACCGGGCACTCATTACAGCACAAGCTTTAGGCAAGCAGACCCAGGTTAAATTCCAGCCCTACCACTTAGCATTTTGCATGAATCTGGACAAGTCATAATCTATGAGTTTAAACTATCACCGGTAAAATGAGGGTACTATCATCTCTTCACAAGGCTAAGCACATTCAAGGAATATATTCAAAGCTCTTAGCACAATACCAGAACATGGCTGGCGCTCAATAAACCATAGCTGTTATCATTATTATCAGCAATCATCTACTTTAAGCCAGTCACCAGTATTTCATCTGTTATTACTTCTCCATTTTGGTATAAAGCTCTACAGTGAAGATTTATTCTGCTTTCCTTTTATTTATTTACTTAACAGATAATTACTAGTTCCTACTATGCACCAAGCATTGTTCTAGATGCTGGGGATATGGTGTGAAATGAAGATCCACCAACTCTCGGCTAATACAGTCCAGAGAGCCATCTTGAATCCAGAATCTCTTCTAGACTTGGTGTCTACAAAGTACAACCCAGTTACAGTTTATATTTGAATTCCCCTGAGAGTCTACCCCTTTAATCATTTCCTATGTGCCCTTACCTCGCCCTCTTTTATTTTAGCTAGCTTTGAGGTCTCTATTCTTTGTTACCAAAGAACCTCATCAAAACACCATCCATTCGGATGAGTATTTAGAGCCACTTATGCCTTTCCATCTGTTAGTAGCAGAACCCAACAATTTCTCTCGATCAGTAGACAGAATGCTGACTGCTCTGGGATCTTGTCAAAGAGGAAAACGAAACTTTCTACTAGGCAGCTTCTTTCAAAAGCTTAGTTGAAGAAGATTGTATTTTAAAAAGCTCAGGAAGTTACCAGGAAAACACATTTGAGAACTGGTATGCTTCTTTTTATCAGCTAATGAATGATGGGACTCATAATATTCCTTCTTTTGCCTTGACTGCCATGAAGCTCAAAGCTAAAATGCAGCCACAGCCACAGTCATTAACATCCTTCTTGTTATCCTCTTAAACACTTTCTTCACCATTTGATGATAGCCACCTTTTACTCATGAGCTGGAGACTAAGGTATATGCTCAAATCCAGAGGTGGCTGAGCGGGAGTTTGAATCCAGGTGTGACTGACCCCAAAGCTCACATTCTTACATGCCTCAAATCTCTATTTAGGATTTTTCTCATATTTTCATCATATTTTGAAAGTATTTTTATACTAGAGTCCACAGTAAATGGTTAAGAGCAAGGACTCAGGAGCCAGCCTGGCTAGTTTAAATCTCAATTCTTCTGCATACTAGCAGTGTGACCTTGGGCAAGGTAATTAGCCTTTCTGTGTCTTGATTTCCTCATCTAAAAAATGGAGGCAATAATAGTACTTACTTCCTAAGATTTGTTGTGAGGATTAAACGAATTAATAAGTATAAAGTGCTTTGGATAGTGCTTCACTTCATATACAGAAAGAAACAAAAGCAGTTGCTTTTATTATTATCTTTCATTGTATTGTCCCTAAAATCCTTTAATGGAAGCAAGCAGGAGATATACTTTTTTTTAGTATATATTGTAGGAAAAGACCAAGAAATTTTACTTCAAAGGTATTATCACATTGCATTAACAGACATTTTCGGCTACAGTTTTAATGTTGATGGGGTCGAGGATGGTTTACAAATATGTTCAATATTTATTACAAAAAGAACAAATAATTTTAAAAACTGCCATAATAAAATATAACATGCAAATCTGAATTCAAAACTGTTTGTAAATCAAGGAATAAAAGTAACTGCACATCTTAATTCTAAAGCAAGCATTCCATAAACTTGCATAAAATCCAAACATGCTGATTAAAAATAATAAAAATTTTATCTAAATCTTTATCAATTTATTTGAAACAGATAATACAGAGAATAAGTACAACGAACCCCCATATCCTTATCATGCAGCCTCATCAATCATCAACTTTATGCCCGCCATGTTTCCTCTATTCTCTCCCTTCCCCACCCTGTTTCACAGCAAATCCCAGCTATATCATAGTACTTATTACAAACACTTCAGTACATATCCCTAAAAGGTAAGCTTAAACACACACGCACGCACGCACACACACTATTATCATACCCGACAAAATGAATGATAATACTTTATTACTATCCAATACCCAATCTGTGTACAATTTTTGCGACTGCCTCAAAAATGTATTTTTATAGTTTAAAAAAAAAAAAAATCAGGCTAGGATCCAACCAAGGTCAACAGATTACATTTGACTGATATTTCTAAATTTCTCTTAATTTTAAAAAAGATGTCTCCTCTTTATTTTCATGTTACTTGTAGATAAAATGAAGTGATTTGTCATGTAGAATTATCTACATTCTAGAGTCATCTGATTGTACTCTCATGGGGTCATTTGACATATTCATATAGCGTCCAATTTTTCCAGTCAACTAACTTAGAACGAGAGCAGTGCTATCCAACAGAACTACAGTGGTAAAAATGGTGTCTATCTGTGCTGTCCAATACAGAAGCTATTAGTCATTTTGGCTCTTGAGTCCTTAAAATGTGCCTAATGTGACTGAGGAACTGAGAAAGGCCTTTTAATGAAACATGACTTAGCTGAGGGTAGAACCACTTTTATCCTACTGCCTGGACTATGAATGTGATAGCGAGACCTTCTCCAGGATTCTCTGACTATGAAGTTACCTAATGAATGGAAAGAACATGCTGAGTATGGCAGAACGATATGAGAGAAAGAGCATGGGTCCTTGAAGACTTTGTGGAGCTATCCTTTAAGCTTTGCATTGGCTGACCTCTGGATTTTTTTTTATAGGAGAAATCAAAGATATTCAGGGTATTGTTGTTGTTATACACAGCCATCCTTAATCCTTACTGATACGACTTATCCATCAGATTCTCCTACACCTAGTCAATGTGCAATCCTCCTGGTGGACTCCACCAGGCCTACTGTCTTGGCCCTTCCTACAGCTAATGCCTTTGTTCAGCTCTGCACTCGACACTAATGCCTAGACTGTGGCATACGCATTCCTGACTCATCTGCCTATAGTCTTGCCACCTCTAATCTGCCTTCTATGACAGGTGATCTTTGTAAAATGCAAATTTCATTATTCCATTCCATTAAAATTCAGAAATATCTTTCCTCACTGTACTATGACTTTACGACTAGGACATTCCTACTTTTAAGATCTCCTCTCCCCTTTCTAGGTAGTGTCTAAAATTCTCTGAAAACATCAGTCGCATACACTATCCCCTCACTTAGCACAAGTTAGTCCCTCTAATTAGAGAAGTCCTTTTAAAGACAATTGAAAAGTCAACTTCTTTACCTTCCCTGCTCATGCTCCCCACACCCCACCCCTAGGAATCCGGTACTTTAATTAAAGCATTTATTATCATAATATACCGTAATTGCTTATTTACATAGACTGTCAGTTCTACCAGACCATGAGCAACTCCTCCAAGGTAAGATTAAAGCATATTCATTTGTGTATTTATCTCCCACAGCAACCAACATCGTTCTTACATCACACCATATTCTCTCTTCAATGAATGTTTGAATAAATGAGTCAGAGTGATCAGTTGATTTTTTTCCTCCTGGTTTCTACTTCTCTCATCAATATTTATATCTCAAGTCCGTCTTACAGTCAGTGCATATTTATCTCTACTACCTGATTCTCATTTCTTTGGTTTTCCATCTTTATCCAATAATTAACTGGCAAACTCAGTACTTAAAAAGAACATTCCACAGGTTCTTACTATCTGCGGGGCACTGGGTTAGACATTGTGCAAAAGGTGAAAGTTCAGAAAACATGGGGTTAAAATCTAAGAAAATGATAAGATATGTACACAACTATAATGAAAAGCTATGACAACTGTCATCACAAGTACAAGCAAATTCTAAGACAGTGTGGAGAAGGCAAAGCTCATTCCAGCCTACTGGCCACCGAAGCTTCATGGAGGAGGTGCCCTTTGAACTAAAATTCATCAGATGGATAGGATTCCAGTATATAAATAGAAAAGAAAGCTCTCGGTCCAGGAAATAAAGATAAAAAGGCATGGGGCATGTTCAGGGCTCCAGAAGTAATGTTAAATAGGGTTAAAAAGATAAGGTAGTGGGAAATTTCAGAGAACTTTGAAAGGCAGGCTCAAGAAGCCAAATTTTATTCTTTGTTTTTTGTTTTGTTTCGTTTGTCTTCAAGAAAAAAAAAAAAAATCCCGTTTTCTTCATACGATCTTGCCTTTCTTCCTTTGTCCCCTTTCAAATGCAGACTTTTATTAGCCAGACTCTTCTGATCTTAAAGACCTCACCACCTCTCCTTCTCCCCACGACCTGTAACCCCTCCCTCCTACCTCTGGAATATAACTACTGGAGTCAGAGAACTGGAAGAATCCTGCTGTACAGTCCCTTGAAGAATGAACACAGATTCTGTGACTAATTTCTTCCTAATCTCTCTCACTTCATTTTTAGAAAGATCAGAAACAAATCAACAGAAACGTTAAAGGTGACATCACTACATGAAGAGTTCACAGCCAGGGTAAAAACATTTTTCCCCTTAATCATCCCTTTGTGCCTAGGGAACCCATAACTCATGCAACATGCAATAAAACACTCTGACATAATACCACATACCAGAACCTCCATGTAATACTGTGGCTAAAAATGCAGGACGGAAGGGCAAAGTTTAGTCTTATCTCCTGACTTCAACCTCAGTTTCACTTTTTAATCTCACTGGATTATTTCCTAAAAACAAACCGCAGGGTATTTCTCACCTGGTAATCTCCTGCTGTAGCTGTGAAACTGAAGGCACATAAAACACCACTCCGAAATAGATGGTAGGTTCCAGTGCATACTTGTCCAGCTGCTTCTTCAGAGGTTTTTCCAAATCTATCCACCGGCGCTGATTTTGCTTGTTGTAGTACCAGAGGCTGAAGTAGGTGATCTGGAAGGAAGGAAAACCACTGAAGGAGGCAGAAAAGTACAAAAGGGTTTCTACATTTAATTGCTCTAATCCATGACCCGAGACAGCAGTCTCCTATTGCTTCATTTCTCAGAAAGGGACAATAGCAAAACCTGTAGGAAAAAAAAGAGGCTAGACCTAGCTATATCTAGATGTTCATATTCAGGAAGAAGAAGCAAAAAGTCAATTACTGTTACAGACTAGTTCTTAAACTCTACACACACACACACACACACATACACACACACACACAAATGCCTTCATGGCTCGCTTATCAGAAATAGTAGGTGCTATGAAATTTTACGTACAGTTTTTAACAAAAACCATATGCTGAAAAATGTTTAGTTTTTAAATTACTGAAATGTTAAATTTATTAAAATTAATATTTTATAATAAACATAATTGAGGTTCTACTTAATAGAATTCTGATTAGTGTTAATCCAACCTTTCACTATTCTCGAATTTGACTTCTATAAATAAGTTAGTTCATGTAAATATCATAAATTCTAGTAATACTAATGTAATTGCAAAACTGCAACTCTTCTTTGTCCCAAAATGTTCATTAGATACAAATTTAAAGCAACCAAAATGCAATAGAGGTAAATTCTCACACACTCACACACATGAGAAAAGCTATACTTAAAGCAGCAAAATAACCTAAATATATTACTCAGAGGTTTTTAAAAAATGCCCAGACATTAGCATTTAGCTTTCCATTTGCTGTGTAATAAAACTGCTCAGGTAAATCGATACTAGCCCTGGACTTGGTCAACCTGAAAGGATATTAACACACTTCAGAGTTGAAATGACAGCCTCAGGACACTGCTAATATTTACTTCGAAATCAATTTACAGTCAAGGTAATTGGAAAAATCTCTGTTTTATTCTAGACTCTAGAGCAACACTATCAAACATAACTTTCTATGATGATGAAAATGTCCTATATCTACACTGTCCGATATAGCAGCCACTAGCCACATGTGGCTATGAGCTCTCAGAATGCGGCTAGTGCAGCTGAGGAACTGAATTTTTAATGTTATTTAATTTTAATTGACTGAAAATAGATGCAAGCATCTAGTAGCTACTGTACTAGATAATATGGCTTTAGAGCAACAATAAAACAAGAAATAATAATACTCAGGCTCATTCTTTAGCCTGAATTTTTAATTTACAAGGGAAAAGAGTAATTATACAAACATTTCCTCAATCTTCATTTCATCTTAAAATTTTTTAGAAGAACTATATTAAGCAAATAAATCTGACAAAAGTGAGGAATGTGTCCATTTTCTTTATATCCAAATAGCTAGAATAGTGTGGAAATTCAGTAAATTTTGTTGAAATTCAGTAAATTTTGCTTCTTAGTTACTACCAAGCCATCACATATGAATGGAATATTTTGAACATTTACTATGTACCAGGTTCTGTTCCAAGAACTTCAGCAATTTCATAGACGAAATCATCACCACTACCTTATGAAATAGATATTGTGTATGTTTGTTAAGCTCTAAAGCCAACCTTTCTCCAAGCATTGTCCCTGGACCACCTCTATCAGAATTATCCGAAGAGCTTCTTGAACCCTACGGTCCAATTCTCATGCCCACTAAAGGTTGAAAACCACTGTACTACACTATGCAGGAGATAGTTGTGTGAACCTAACCTTGAAAAGCTGCATGGAAATCAAATTTTTGAAAATCCAAACACACTTAAATATAGCGGAAAGTCTGAGTTCTATTGTTAATTATTCTCTGAAGTTATGATTATGTTTATAAATGAACTTCATGTATAGAATATGTATTGAAGTTATGGAAAATAGGTACTATTTCTTCTTTGTTTTGAACCGCAAATTACAGAAAAGAAAAATCTGGTTTAATAGAAAGAACACAGTGTCTAAAGTCCTGGGTTTAATTTCTAATGCTGGCACTTGCTGGCTGTGAGGTGGAAAAGTCAATCAGCCCAAAGCAGTTTTCTCAAGTGTAAAATAAGGCAACACCTCCCTCACAGCTCCATCAGGAGGGCTGAATGCAAAAACTTTTAAGAGTGCATTTTGCCACTAGAAAACCATTACTTCATTTTTAAAAGAGTAGTCTTACCCACTCTCCTAAACACCAATAAAATCAATTACCGACACCTCTGAAAGAAAAACTATTCTAATTCCCTATCTTTATTTGGATTGATTACAACAAATACATTTTTATTAACTGTATTTATGATTTGTGTTCCATCTTAGAACTGGACCGGGTGTACCATGTTTGGTGTATAACACATACCACTGCTATGCACTTAGTTCTACAAATATTTATTTTTTGCCATAAATGCAGAAGGCTTGGCATCTTTTAAGATCTATAACTGTTTTGGTCATAACAGTATGTCGCTTTTAACCAAAATTAAAAGGTCTTAAAAATACTCTGTATACATAACTTTTCAAAAATTTAAATAGAATTATAAAACTATATGATTATTATATAATTTGTGGTTGTACCTTTTGTGAACTGATCATGATACAATTATAGGAAAATACCTGAATAATCTGTTAGCGTTCTAGAAAAGGTATATTCTAAAAGAAATAAACTCTTAAAGTGTGCGAAGTTTATTTATTTTAGCAATGCATTTATTAGTCATGCCACATGTGGATATAAATCAGCTAGGAAGAGAAATACATTTTTGCAATTGCATAATTAGTTTTCTACAAATTATATACCTTATAAAGAAGTAGTAAGGCCTTTAATTTTGCAAACAGCTGAAGAAATAGATTTAGCAAATTATTTGTTGATTAGCTCTTTTAGATGTAGGAGCCCAAGATTTTGGACATTTGAACATTAACCTATTTTATACTTCAGTGAAGTTATTTTCTTTGGTACTTACCCCTGTGTTCAAGTTCTATGTTAAGAAGTAGTCAAAGCTAGCCAAAGTCAAGTTTCTACTTTGTTAAATACTGTCAAGGAGGTATTATAGTTTTAAAATTGCTGCTAGAAATGTTTACATACATGTAGGTATTAAAATCTCATTACAATCCTTGTATTTTAGGATGTGGTTCTATAGTGTAGCAGTTGGCACGTCTGCTTTACATGCAGAAGGTCCTGAGTTCACACCCCAGTGGAGCCACGGTCCATGGTCTACGGCCATGCCACCCTGAACAAGCCTGATATCTGATCTCGGAAGCTAAGCAGCGTCGGGGCCTGGTTAGTACTTGGATGGGAGATCACCTAGGAAGACCAGGAAGACCAGGTGCTGTAGGCATAAATAACAACAACAAAATAATTCTTGGATTTAGTGCTTTCTTAGAATTTCTACACATATAAAATCAAATAATAACATCCGATTCCATGAGATTTTATAACTATTATATGGTTTGTTTCTAAGATGGGTAGATAGAGTTCGAGCAACAAAATGTTGTGATTAAATTCTCATTAGGCATACAATTTTCTGTAGAAGTCCATTCTGGGGGATTTGTCTTGGATAACAATCTTGAAAATCCAGATCATTAATAAGTTAAAACCCATCCAAAAAAAACCAAAGAGTGGGTGGGGAGGGGGGCGTCAAAGAAGGAGAGAGAATACTTCCTACCTTATTCTACAGGCGAGCATTATCCTGACACCAAAGCTGGACAAGAAGTACCACCCCAAAAACTACAGACCAATACTCATTATAAATATAGATGCAAAAATCCTCAAGAAAATACTAGCAAACTGAATCCAACAGCATTTTAAAAGGATTATATACCACGATCAAGTGAGATTCATCCTAGGAA